CGTGCGCGATGGGCTTAATTGAAAAAAAAATGTTTTTTTTGGGCTGTATTATGCTGCGAGGTGCTGTGTGCGATGCGGTCGTTGCATGAGAGGGAATAACTGTGTTGTGGTTGAAAAGTTACGACGGGATTGATGGTGTGTTGGTCGCCTGCAGATTTGCTTGCTATTGTGCTTCAATGTACGCGTGTGATCGCGATATGCTGATTGCATGTGCTGTTATACCGTTCTGTATATGTGTTGCGGTTCCGGGTGGGGGTTTTTTTTTTTTAGGGAACCATCGGTTGATGTTACGCTTGTTCTTGTTATTGTTACTGTTACGAGGCACACGTGTATTGACGGTGTTAATCTTTATTCTTGGGGGTTGAGGGATTGTTGCAGCCGGGACGGCTGCGAGCTGTACAGGGGGGGGTGATGTAGGGGTTATTACGGCAGAAACGGCGGACAACAAACACAGGGCTGTCGGCACTCACATACACGGGGGGTCACACCGACGTCCGCATCAGTTATTGCCCACGCCCCCAGCCCTCGGAGGCGATCCCTATAAAAGGTGGAACCCAAAGAGCTCGAGGCAGTTCGACACGAAGCTGACCAGTGAAGATCCAAGACTCGGAGATTAGGCCCTGGGACTCCCCGGTCTCGCCGTCCTTATAAGGGCCGAGCCGGGTAAGCCAGTGGCGCGGCCCAAGAGCTTCCAGACCGCTGCCCTTATCAGGGCAAGGCTGGTTAGCTGGTGCCGAGATCTGTGCTTGCCAGGGCCAGATCAGTCAGCCTCCCGTAGCCCAGTAGAGGAGGACTGGGGGACAGGACAGAGGGCTTAGTACTAGGGTGGGTTTCCCATAGTACGGGTGAAGGGGCCGATACCCCTTCAACTATTGTATCTGTCCCGGAGTTAATAAACAGTGTGTCTCAACTTCCTCATCGTCTCCTCATCAACTTACTACACAAACATGACTCCTTGCAAAAAGGTGTCAGTTTTGCTGCCAGATAGAAGGGTAAAGAACCAATTATCATATTTTTACTGGCAAATGAGGTCCCCATAGTGTAGATCAATTTGATTGTTCGCGGGAGAAAGATTACTTGCTGTGACCGGGCGGGTGGCAAAATGCCGCCCTCTCTACCTTGTGGACCAAAACTCACTTGGAAGGAATTTCTGAATCAGAATCTTGGAAGGGATTTCAGAAGTAGCTCCGTGGTATCCGCTTCCGTGGGCCGATCTCAATTTCAAAGGAGTGCCACTTCTCTTGCGAGAGATCCGAACTGATTCCTCATCTCGTTACGTGACATCGATAGCACATTCTAAATAAAATTGGAGGAGTGGGGAAAGAAAAAAAGAGTTGGGTTACTTGTGGATTGGGTGAGTGTTGTACACCATGAAACGTGTTATGTTTGACATGCACATTTTGAAATCGTAGAGCATTGTGGGATGTTATTTGAGATGCAAAGGTTGCAGTGAGTATGTTATTGATGAATTAATGTTTCAACACACTTCAGATTATATATACCAGTCAACCTTCAAAAAAAGGTTTTGTTAGAGTTATTTTAGAGAGCACTGTTAATGCACTTGAACGTCAGTTTTGTCGAAAACAATAAACTGTAACTTTTAAATAAAACTACTTTGCTTTGTATTTCCGGTGACAAAGTGAGTTAATCGGTGCACCTAAAACACACGGCAAAGTTCGAACCACGAATGGTTGTATTGCCAGTTTACCGTTTCTATCTTGAGATATATTTGCAATTGCACGCATCATAAATCCACTGTCTTTGCTGCGAGTTTGACGGCAATCTGCAAATTTGCTGTTCCTCCAGCAACATGAGGCTGCTAGCACTTATGGCTTACAATTTTTTTTTTAATTATCTGCATAGTAAGAAGCTCCATATGTACATTTGCGAGAAAGGTGGCAAACCATACGTGCAGGTCATGGCGATTAATTCTCCATACGTCAGCATGCTGGTTAGTGTGGTTTGGTGAAGGCGTGGAGTAGAATTGGAGCATGATAAAAGTCTAACAAATGTCGCTACAGTAGACTGCCCTCTGCTAACGACCAAGACCCACAGGATCCGATAACACCACACAAGGACGATCCAGGCTAAGCCCTGCATAGCTTCCGAGATCAGACGAGATGGGACACATTCCGATTGATTTGATCATCGTGAAGATAGAGGTAGCAACACATTATTAACAAGAAATACCTTCACAAGCGGTGTGTTTGAGCTGTGGGCTGCCACACTTTTTCTCTTTTAAACCATATGATATTTAGAATCAAGTGGCAATATGTAAAAACTCCAAAGCTAAGCAATATACTGTAACATATTTAGAACTCTGATGGTAGCAGAGATACTTCTCAAATTTGTCTCAGCAGATCTTTTGGGGTCTTTTGGTAAAGTCACGTAGATCGTTACTCTTTGGTTCTTCCTGCAGTCACGAAAACTTTAAATCAAGTTTTCACGTAGATAGGTTCAAAGAAAATAAAAAACAAAAATTACGACATTTCGATCGCAACACAAGCGGTCGTCTCAGCAGTTTTTCCTTTCACATTTGCATCTGTATTGCCAGCATTTTTGGAGTGGTGGCGCAGTGGTTAGTACTCGCGACACTGCACTAAGAACCCGGCGAACTGTGGTCCATCCCTGGCCATGGCTAGCTTCAATGACAAGCGATTTCTGAAACGGAGCTGCCCCCCCCCCCCCCCACTTCACTAAACCCAGCATGGTAAAGTATAATCAAATATCCCCACGACCTGCATAGCACAGGGAAACCTCCATCCACCACAACCTTCTTGTCCGTGGAATATCCCAAGAAGAAACACCACCGTAACTTCAATTATGTCATTTGACCGGTAGTAGCGAGACTCTACACTTGCTTCAGCAACAGTGTGGATGACTGACCGCTGTGTTTTACACCTGATCTGTAAACCTGCAATGGCATAGCTGTCGAATGTATGTGTAATGATGACTTGATACACTTGTCTTATGATGGTTCATTCATACAGGTAGAGACCACACTGCAACAGCTCCAAGTCTCCCGCGCATCTCCCTTATATATGGACCGAGGCCACACCCCCCTTCTCGAACCTTCTCGCTGGCTCGAGATGCTTGCTCCACCAGCAGAGTCTACCGTCCTCTTCCGTCACTTGGCCACGCCATTCTCGATCATTCCCGTAGCCACCAGTCCCTTCATACTGCAAGCTGACACCCCTGTCATTACCTCCCGTGGCCACTAGTCCCTTCGCACTGTAGGCTGACTCCCCTGTCATTACCTCTCGTGGCCACTAGTCCACTCACACCACAGGTTAACTCCGCTCTCATTAAATATGTACATATGAATGTTGAACTGCTTTTGCACCGTACGTAGCCAACCGTGCTAATCGGAGGTGCGGGGGAAGGACAACAAGCCAAACACAAAAGGCAGTTTATTAAGAAATTAGTTTTAAATCTAGATTTAAAAGTGCAAAGCTCCAGTGACTTCCTAATATCGGAAGGAAGAGCGTTCCAGACGGCCGCAAAAGTGCATTTGGCTGTTCGATAGCCAGCCAAAAGCTGCTGTTGCTGCGAGGACCGAATTTCTTGTGATGGCTTATGTCTGTTGATGAGATCGGCAAGGTATCGTGGTTCATTTGTGGCAACCACTTTGTGTGCAATGAGTGAGATCATATAATGAATTTGTTTGGAAAGGGGAAGCCAATGCAGGTCAGCGAGCACTGGACGAACATGAATGTGCGGGTGGTGTAACTGTACCGTGCCTCACATGACATAGGGATCCAAGTGGGCAGGGGGGAATAATAAGGCACCGGGACCCATGCCAACCCTAACTACACCAACAATACCATGCCACCAGGTCTCAAAGTCAGGCTTGACTGAACGAATGAAATGAAAAACCACACTTTGTTTAAAATATTTTGTCGAACCGTTCGTTGGTGATGAGGCTGATAAGCGTCAACTAACAATACCCGAAAACAAACGTTTTTACTCCCCTGGAACAAATCTTGGCATGATAACATAGGACAGTGGCTCAGTTGCTCTGACACAGACCAAGTGTTCGATCTCTGAGCCATCCGGTCACATTTAAACTGTCTATGTACATTCATAAATTGAGACAATGGGTCTGTTGACCCGCATGGGATAGGAAGGCCCTCGGCTAGCATTCGATTGTACAAGTTACGTAATGATTTTCGTGTGCGTGTCTTTCACCCTCGACTGTTTAGACAACATCTCTGAGTCACTGGTTTTGTCCTAACCGCTCCCTTTCCTGTTGTATTAATGAGTAAACAAACATGCCTCATTTTACGTAGCCAATCTTTAATAGGCATTAAGTAACATTTTAGGGTAGTGGAGATTGTAGGAGGGGTGGCGGGAGAAGCGGTGCACAGTGGTTCGCGAAATTCGCTATGAATCTAGCCACCTGAGCTTGATTCCCAGCTGTAACTCACACGAGTTGGCGAGTTATATCTGAACCGGTCCTGGGCCCCCTTTCTTCACCAACTGCACAAGCCGGAATGGTGAAATACGGTCATATAACCACAAATATCAGTAAAAGATGATTACTTTCAGTGGCTGCAAAAGACAATATTAGGAAAGGTGGTTTGTTACCAATCACAATTTGCATGTTCTCCCCGTGGTCGCGTGGATTTTTTTCCTGGTCCTCCGGTTTTTCCCTCCACATAAAAAAAAGCTTTTAAAGTATTTGGCTACTATATATTTCCACGCGATAAGCCACTTCGTTGAGCTATCATTTGTGGCGAGATCGCTTCTGAAAAGAAGCTATATGGCTCAGTGGGCCTTACCTGGTAAAACTCGGCTACCTCAGTTCAATTCCTGGCCATAGCTGACATCAATGACGAGTGGTAACTAAACCAATCCTTGGACCCCTGGCCCCTTAATAGCCCGTGCTGACCAGTATGGTGAGGTATGGTCAAACAAACTTTTGCAACAATTAGCATTATTATGAAGGGCCCGATAAGACGAGTTAAATATTTTTTTAAAGGAGCTCTGGGTATAATAAATATGTTACATCATAATGGCAAGTAGATGTTTATGCAACAAATTAGAACAGATAAGTTAACATCAAAATATCAAATTTCAGAGCAGCAAACAGGTGCAGGCAGGCTCATGCAGGGCTTTACACAGAGTACAAGAAGCATGGCATCCTCAGGCAACGTAGGCATTCCAAGGTTCTTGTGAACAGTTGGCACAGAGTGGAACAAGGAACGATTCTTGATAGAGCCTTGGTTTGCCAGAAAACAAATTAAGCTCCTGCACCTCCGATTAGCACAGTTGGATACGTACGGTGCGACAGAAGTTCAACGTACATACGTACATACGAAGCTGGGATATCCGATTCATGAAGTGATCAAATACACAAGCATGCAATACACCTCGTTAGATATCTGCCCCCTACACATAAAACATTTTAATTATAAAAAACAAATGCACTTCCCATCAACCACAAATCCTTCTGGGAGTGCACAACCCAAGAGGCACTGGCCAAAACACGCAAGCTTTTGGCGCGGATTCAACAGCGACGCTAATGATTATTATATAATATAACATTTCGTCGAAGCCATGTCTGAAAAAGAGAGTACTTGCTTCTAGCTTTGGGCAGTTCACCAGCTTTGGTTCAGGCGGGTCTGTTGATGAGACGCTGCATGTCGAAACCAGTCCAGCGTGCTTTTATTGCACCAGTGCTGCAAAAAAAATGCACATCCAGAAGGCCTTGTGATTGACAGGAAGTGTAAAAAGAAACACTTGATGGCCAGCCAGAAAACGTAGTCAATTGGATATTTTGGCCACCTTTCTTGATAAGAGAGAAATGCTCATTAAATGCCATGCTGTTGGACGTCCTCGGGCGAACCGACTTATCAATCCACGTTGAGATTGCGACGGTGCATTCGGTTCGTGCATGAATCAAACTTTTGACTTATTTCGCCAATAAGCCACTTTTCTTTCCAAATCTAAAATTACCTTCAAAATTACACTCTAGATGTATAATCACGGTGGATTTAAAATATTGACCTAAGATTGCCTAATTAGTGGAACAGTGCACATTAAAATGTATTTTGTTTAACGAAGTGAGACCTAAAGACAAAATAAAGTGCGGCAAATTTTATTCGGCATAAATTTCAATGTCGAGGTCTGCTAGCCACGAGAGGGCTTCGAGAGAGTTTGCGTAACTGTGCGATTCCTCCGTTTGAAGGAAATGAAGACTAAGAGTGGTTTACTGCAAGGCCCATAGTTCGGGTTGCATAGCCCAAAATCGCATTATTGCAGATTGTTTGTTTGTATTTCCCAGATGTTTTTTTTTATGAAGTAGATGTTCCACATCAACGACTTGTTTGACGTTCTGATGCGGGGTTGATGGACCACAGCATTGACTTTGTGGAATGTCCAACGCCAGGAGGGGGCGACGTTTTGGGTCTTGAATGAGGTTGAAAAAATAATAGGTTTCACCCTTTCTGGCAATGCATATATTATTAACATGTTTAAATTTTGACTTAAAACTTTCGTGACTGCAGGAATTCATATTTTGGTTCTTTCGGTAATGTCACGTAAATAGAAAACCAAAAATGTAAAAAAAAATATATATATAACTTCAATTACCAATTTTTATAAGAAAAAAAAATTAAAATAATAAATTTAAAATAAGAACAGCAAAAAACCCCACAGTAAAATAAAAATAGTAAAATATAATACATATTTTTAAAATTGAAAATAAAAGCAAAAAACTCACGACGTTTCGATCGCAACACAAGCGGTCTTCATCAGGCGGAGAAGACCGCTTGCGATCGAAATGTCGTGGTTTTTTGCTTTTATTATTTTAATTTATTTTAATTAAAACATGTTTAATTTGATTTTACTATTTTTATTTTACTATGGGTATTTATGCTTTTATTTTCAATTAATAATTATTTTTTTTATTTAAAACATTTTTTATGTAATTTTTTTTTTACGTGACTTTACCGAAAGAACCAAGAATATTATCATGTTTATTTGCATGTTTACCACAAGTACCGTGTGTGGCTCTCATGAAATTGTCTTTTCCGAGACTAACGTGCTCTGCAAGCCTCCTGGCTACCATCAAAGGTTTGTACACGAGGCCATCCAAATATACAAACACAGACATAATTGCAACCGTGATGATGGGTACAAACTTAATAATCATTGGAAAGATCTTCTTGGTTCTTTCGGTAAAGTCACGTAGAAGGGAAGTAATAAAATAATAAAAATAAAACATAATAAAACAATTCTCACGACGTTTCGGCCACAACGCAAGCAGCCGTCCTCAGGTGAAGGACGGCTGCTTGCGTTGTGGCCGAAACGTCGTGAGAATTGTTTTATTATGTTTCATTTTTATTATTTTATTACTTCCCTTCTACGTGACTTTACCGAAAGAACCAAGAAGATGAATCCCTGCAGTCACGAAAGCTTTAAATCGAAACATTGGAAAGATGTTATTAACCATGCAAAAAAGATTTAACTACACATATTTGGAGCATTCCTGGCAGCGATTTCAGCCGCACCACCTCTACATAACAATAGGCTCAGTCAACCATTCTACACAACAAAGACTAATTTCCTGGCAGCGATTTCAGCCGCATCACCTCTACATAACAAAAGGCTCAGTCCCTTTTACACGCACCTTTACATCATCCGCACCTAGTTTACACAACAAAGGCTCATTCCTAACAGCGTGCTTCAGCCTCACCGAACCTCACAAAAATAATATTCAGGGCCTACTTAGATTAAGGCCATCAGTCTTACTCCGTACTACAACAACAAAAAACATGGCCATACCAAAAAACTTTTCGAAATCACCCAAATAAAGCCATGAAAGCAATGAAACAGTGATCATAGGAACTGTGACGGAATTTTCACAATACACGACATAACCAACATGTACTGCCAAAACTCTGCAGCCATAGCTGGCTGCATGAGTCACTCCACAACAGCAGGAGCATCAGTCGGAGTATCATCATTTTTCAATGCCCCTTTAAGGGGCCAGGGGTCACAGAAATTTAAACTCCATCCTGAAATCTCACGAGAAAATAAATCTAAAATAATATAACACAATCTAGATTTATAATACAGGCTATTGTAGGAATTGATTAAAACAAAAAAAGTCACGTAGGAAAAAAATTTAAATTAATAAAAGTAAAATAAAAAATAAAATAAAAATCACGACGTACAGTCGTGATTTTTATTTTATTTTACTTTTATTAATTTAATTTTGAAAAAAATTCCTACGTGACTTTACCGAAAAACACCATAAGAATATGAATCCTTGCAGTCAAGAAAGCTTCAAATCTAGAATTTAAACAAAAAAAGTTTAAAGTTTTCTTTGTCGTTCAGTTTCAGCCAATAGCGGCAAGAGACTCCCCGCCATGCGAAGGTCGGGCGTGACGTCACTTCCGCTCGAGGCCCAACTCCCGGCGAGCACCGCGCGCGGACCTTTTTTTTCCACGTCGCCATTTCCTCTTCGTCTTCTCTCCCGCCGTGCGGCTTCTTCCATCTCCTCGCCTCGGTTGTATCCCTCCCTCCCCTCCTCCATCGCTCTCTCCTTTAGTTCGTCTAATCATCGTCGTCCTCGTCACCGTCTCACGCCTGTGTGCGAGTTTGGTGCTGTGCGGAGCGCGTGTGCTTGTCGCTGTTGTCTTCACCTCACGCCGTAGCAGCTTCGCCATGTTCCGTCCTCGCGGGAACTCGAGCTTACAACAACAACAACAGCAGCAGCAACAACAACAACAACATCGCGCCTCTACTCCATCTCCACACCACGGCGGCTTCGGGCCTCATCACGGCGGCCAGCAGAGCCCAGCCACCAGCCCCCGAGGAGCCATGCGCTTCGTCTCGGCGACGTCGCCGCAAACGGCCGGGTTTCAGCAACAGCAGCTGATGATGATGCTGTACCAACAGCAGCAGCAGTTCAGTCCCCAGCAACAGCAGCAGCAGCAGTTCAAGCAGCAGTGCTTCCAAACGCCGTCGCCCCGGTTCAGCCCCTACGGGCAGCAGCGAAGTCCACGTGGTTCCCCGTGGCGCGGGGAGACGCCGAGGGGCCGCGCCTCCTGGCAGCAGGTAACTCACGCACAACACGGGGGACAGGCCGTGGCTTATAGACATACGAGGGTTTGACGATAAGGCCATAACTACACGTGGCTGATAAGCTATAGAACGCATTCGAGGGTTATACGCATGGGGTTAACGAATAGGCGATCGTAAACACGGTTAACGGATGCCTTGTCAAGTGTACAGATTAACTAGAACCACAGCGTTATGTTTCAAATAAGGTCCTCGTTGGTAGACTACAAATTTCGATTTAAATCTTTCGTGCACTGCAGGGATTCATCTTCTTGGTTCTTTCGGTAAGTCACGTAGAAGGGAAGTAATAAAATAATAAAAATAAAACATAAAATAATTATCACGACGTTTCGGCCACTGCTGCTTGCGTTGTGGCCGAAACGTGAGAATTATTTTATTATGTTTTATTTTTTATTATTTTATTACTTCCCTTTCTACGTGACTTTACCGAAAAAACCAAGAAGAAGACTACAAATTGTTCAGAATGCGGTAAGATGCTCACCTGAACTCCATTACGTAACCATATTTCCCCGGTTCACTTGTATTTACACAGGCTGCCGGCCTTGAAACGAGTAGAGTTTGAGGCTTCTACTCGTCGTTTTAAAGCTTTGCAAGGGCTTGCACCACCACATTCACGAGCTTATTCATTCGTACAACCTGCAGACTGCCCATGTGTGCGTGCCTCGATTCCTGGGGTCAGTGGGCTACTTGCTGTGTGCGCCTCGGTTGTGAATTTTTTTCCCTCTTTGGATATTCGTTTAACCGACTGTGTGGATACTTTTAAGTCGCAGTCTAAAAACACAATTTATGTTTATTCTATGTAGCGCTTCCTCTATCGGCCTTTTCTTAATCTAACAAAGGCGCATTGAGGACATTTGTTGAAGGTGCCTTACTAATGTAATTATTAAGCATAAATCGCTAAGGGTTAACTATTATATAGATTTAGGTTATAAGCTATTCATGACCACGTGGGATAATGCAGGGTGTTCAAATTATAAACTACCTCGTATATAGCTGCAGGATATAATATACCTTAATGAGAATATCAACTATAATAAAACATCGTAAAGGTACATCAATGTGCATAATGCACTCTGGTTTATAAACTGAACCTTATGGCGGTACCCCGGGCTACCATAGTACCCCGGTTCTCGCATAATGTCTGTGATGCAGTCATTTTTAGTCTGTGTTGATGGTCGGCGATACGGAAATCGACTCATCTCAACGAGCTGTATACTACGATGCACCACCACTACAGTGCGTACACGAGCGTTCAGGGTTTCAGCGCAATCGTCCTCGCTGCGTTTCGACATCGCGGAGTAGCACCTATTTCGGATTTATTGGTACCCCAATCGCGGAGTTAAGTGCACCCCTGGAAAAAATAGTGTCCCAGAAATAAAATATTTAATTGCCTCGGGCATTTTGTATTGTTTGGTACCAAGGGGTATTGCCATAAGGATCAACTCGCATCCTCATGGGGTGTTAACAGGAGTTGTACTCATTGGATTAAAAGCCATGCTAACACTCGTCAAAGGGTTAGTTGCGAGGTTTTACGAGCACATTGAGGCTTCCGAGCCTCAAAATACTGCACACGTGCCTTGGGTAATGCAGAAAACGCCAAACATTGGGCCACCGTTAGTTGATGTGGGCCCCTTAACAGTTATTGGTCCAACGGCCACCAACGTTTGAATATTTTTTTGTTTCCTCCACAGCGCTGATCATAGCCGCAAGCCCGGGTTAATGTTGGGTTAGAATTATGCAAGTCGCGTTCACTCGGGAGTTTCACCTTGGTTATGAAATAATATCGTCTGCTGTGAAAATTATCCGAGTGGCTTGGTTAGAATTTCATTTAACAAGCAGCCTTAGATCCTGAGTTTTAATCCATGCTTATACTAATCGAGGACTTCTGGTTCAGCAAACTTGAGTCTGTGATCAAAATACCCTACACTTTGCTTTTGGCCACGTTTAGCACTCGGGGTCGTATTTAATCGACATACACACTTAACAAATCGTAGAAACAATTACATTGCCTTCAGCTTGCAGCATTGACCTATAAGGCACCCGTGGAATTAGCTTAATCCCTGAACTTTGTAACCGCGTCATTTTTTTTTAAGCAGTCAGGCGTATTTGTGACAAACAATTTCTCGTCCACAAGGGATCACCAAGGATGCCAGGCTCCCGCTCTCCGTGGCACGGCCGTGCGGACAGGGAGGCTAGTGTGGATTGCTATTACAAGAGCAGCATGGTGCAGGACCCCTGGAGGGGCCTAGTGCCCGTGTCTGTGTCCGACGTGGAGGGCGGCAGGGACCAGGAGGTCAGTGGTAGGCACGCAGGACGCTATTTTGGCCGGCTCACGGCCTAAATTCGCTTCCCGTACTGCAAGCGTTGGTGCCCGCTAGAACATTTGTCCTGGTGTGTCGCAGCCACAAGAGCGGGGCTATGTCGCCTTCCGATGATGCAGCAGCAGCAGCACATTCAGCAGCTGTTTGATCAGCATCACTCGTAAGGCGTATTTTATCGCTGAAAGAGTTTTTGTTTTCCCAAACAAAACGAGCTGTGCATTTCTACAACACGAAGAAACGTTCTTTGTATCTGTTATAATCTCAGCAAACGCTTTACGACTACAGCTGCACGCATTCAAATGCAGTCACAATGTATTGACATTTGTAATAGTGGTTACAAATCTCGTGTTTAATACCAGATAGCCCATAGTCTGCTTACAGCAGATATCTGCTTGGGAGTTGGGCCGTGAAGTTACATCGCACAATAAACAAATTGGTTAATATATTTAACATCAATATACCGGATCCAACTAAAATTGTTTGTTAACCATCTGTGCACAATGTTGGCTAAAAGGGGAAATTGAACACTTCAAGACAACTTTTCTCAACAGAAACGTCCATCTGCTGTAAATTATCATGGGAAATAATAATTTCAAACAGAAGAGGTACATTTTGTGCATTGTTCACCTCGGCATGGTATGTTTGTTTTTATAAGCTAGCAAGGGTATATTTTGCAAAAAAAAATTGTAGTCAATGCATTACTTGAGCATTTACCCCCATGTATTCAGAAGAGCTGTGTTAATTGCATGCATTAGATGTCCGACGCCAACACCAGCAACATACATTTTGGTTTTAATTATGGGTTTGGTTTTTAAAGAGCTTATGGTAATTATATGAAGTTATTTCATACTTTTAGTTCAACATTGAGTTTTTCCCACCCAATAGGTGGTGTATTATTTATGTATATCATGAAACAAGGGCAGTTGATGACATTTATTAGTTGACATTTTTGAATGTAACTCCTGTAATACAAACAAATTTTGTAGTTTTCTACCATCACTTTCCTGTATAAACAGTATTTATTTTGACGAGAAGGCAGCTTTGCCAATTGTTTTGTAAATGTTACTGCTCAACAAAGATAAGGGTTTTTGTAATAAAGTTGTTAAGTTTGTGTGTATCATTTAAATACATTTGCCAACTGCTTCACTTGACACTGCACTACTACACAAGTGTATAAGCGCGTCAATTACCCTGATGTTGATGATGAACACCAGCACTGACATGGATCTTAATATTTTTAATATTAACTATGAATGCCTCATGTATATCATTCACTTTCAAGTCACTGCAGAATAACACAATTATATTGTATACCTCGTCATTAATTAAATAAGTACTGCCCATTTTCATTTATCAACACTGATGACGGTGAGTTGAAAATTGTGAAGAGGTGCATGCTTCAAATTACTAAAATAAAATGTTATTTTTACCAGGTAAGGCCCACTGAGCTATATAGCTGTTTTTCAGAGGCAACCTGGCCACACGATAGTTCAATGAAGTGGGTTGTGTTGGAATTTAAAGCAGCCAAATACTCAAAATTTTTCAATATCTTGAGGGAAAAGCTGGAGGACCCGGAGAACAATCTACGCGACCACGGGGAGATCGTCCAACCAAATATACAGGTTTGGGATTGAACCCATGCCCTGTGTATCAGGTGAGGTAGTTAACATCTCGCCATTGGCGAGGAAGAGGAACCATTAGATAAAACATTCCTGCGGAGGGAGCTGGTAGGAACATTGGGTTGCTCCGTCAATGGCCAGGGTCAACGGTAGCGTGGTGTATTCCGCAAATATGCCCGACTGAGGGTGGGCACAAGCCGGCGTGAGTAGGTTAAACGTTTTATAAGGGCACCACCGGGGTAACCAGCCCCTCCCCACCCCTCCCATTTTTTGATGCACGACGGACGAACACAATAATCCCCTGTGAGCTGGTGTAACCAGGAGGTTCCTACCAGTAAAAACAATTGGGTTAGGCAGGACACGCCGCGAGAAGGTATGATTGCGAGTGGTCGATGCTAACGGAGTGGTAGAATGAAAGAACACTCCAGAGATGACGTCCACTACCGACATGTAAGAATGAAGTGACTGCTTGGGGAGGCCTTAATCCACCAATGCAGCTTAACCATATTTTTGCGGCACACTTTCGAGCTTGCTGGGTCTTTGTGGCACATTGAGACAAAAACTCTGGCCCCGTGTGGAGAGAGAGTTGACAATCCCTTGTATGTACTTTGCACCGTACGTCGCTAATCGGAGGTGCAGGGCAAGGGCAATAAAAGCAGTTCTAAAGAAATGAGTTTTAGATTAAGGGGTGCATATCTCCAGTGGCTTAATATCGAAAGGAAGAGCTTTCCAGACGGCTGCAGAAGAGCATCTGCGCGGGATACAAGGGTGACTGGAGTTCGCGTTATGGTTTGTATTGTGCTTTATATCTGGCAAGCACTAATTGCCACCTTATAATGGTTCGTTAGGCAACCAGAAACCTATGGGAGCTCTGCTAGCAGTACCTTTAGTGAATTGCAATAATCCAGCCTTGTTGATGTGATACAACACGCCATCGTGTTGGATATAAAAATTGCAGGACCTGACTACATTTTGCACGTGGTTATGAAACGAAATTCTGGTCTCGTGGTGCCGTTGCTCTTGAGTAAAAAGTGTTTTAAAATAACAAATTTTAAACCACGCTTTAATTAAATGTACCCTACTCGTGTAATGGCAGAACTCCAGGAAGTGGCCCCACAGCTTGCCGCAGCGTAAGGGGACCGTGGTGATTTACAGGCAACTTGAGTTCAGCGTGGACAATTAAAATATTGTTTAAAAATATATACATTTTTAATGATAGAATAACAGGACCCTGCGGGGTGGGCTGGTAGGAACGAATAACCAAAGAATATAAACAATGTATTATTACACTTGTTTAGCCAGGAAAGCCCCACTGAGTCTAAAGGTTTTTATAGGGTCCTGCCAAGTGTTTGCAGCAGGGGGCGATGTTGCTACACCGAATCGGACGATACGAAGGGAGAGTGAGGCCTAGTTCTAGGCTTTAGGCCTAGCTGTAGGCTTAAGGCCGCCGTGAGTTAAATTTAAATGTTTTTATTATTTATGTAAAAGCTTTAAATTTAAATGTTTCTATTTAAAAGCATCAGGGAATGTAACATTGTTAAACATTAACTCCCTTGCACACACGCGGGGGTACGATACGAGGGGAGAGTTTGAGGCTTAGTTCGAGGCTTTAGGCCTAGCTGTAGGCTTTAGGGCGCTGCGAGTTAAATTTTAATTTAAAAGTTTTAATTTAAAGCTATCAGGGAATTATAAGGGAATGTTACACTTGTTTAGCCAGGAAAGCTTCATTAATTAATGTTTTAATTAAAAGCTATCTGAGGGAATTATAAGGGAATGTTACACTTGTTTAGCCAGGATAGCGTCACTGAGTCTAAAGGTTTTTGTAGGGTCCTGCCAAGTGTTTGCAGTAGGGGGCGATGTTGCTACACGGACGGACAGACGGTCGGACGGACGGACGAAATAATCTATTGTAGGCTGGTCCACTTCGTTCCTACCAGTATAATATTGTCATCAGTATGACATACCTATACCAAGTTTGCAGTCGATACGACATTGGGAAGATGATTGCAATAGAGTTACAAGATTTGAGGACATGACAAGACAAAATATATTGTTTAATGATATAATATGGTATCAGTATCACATAAGTATACCAAGTTTGCAGTCGAAAGCACATTGGGAAGTGGGTAAAAATGTAGTTACAATATTTTGTATGGATACAACAACAGGACTGAGTTAAATAAAAGCGTGTAATAATAAAAAAGTGAATCCTGGAGTCTGCGATGAACGCCCAAAATCTGACGATCAATTTGTCCCAACTGCGTGATTGTATCAAATGTTTTAATTTGTGTCTCCCCATGTCTCTATCTTTGTGTGTCTGCCCAACTTGACCAAATTAAAACGTTACATCTCGGTCGGTATTTTTTTTCCAGCTGCAAAGGTGAATGAAATCGTGCTGTTACATAGTTGTGTAACAGAGACTGCTCCAGCTAAGATGTTCTTAAATACTTGGGTGCTTAGCTTTAGAATATATGCGCTCCATCTAACGCGGGGCAAGATAACGCTGCAAATTATGATTAATACAGTTAGTACATTCTAGATTTGAAGCTTTCATGACTGCAAGGAATCATACTCTTAGGTTTTTTCAGTAAAGTCACGTAGGAAAAAATTATAGAAATAAAATATTTTCTTTCTATGATTATTTCTATTTTTTTCTATTTTTACCTACGTGACTTTACCGAAAAAACCAAAGAGTACTGCTAGTACAAGTTGTTGCTGCTATTGGTGACTTCTGGAACACGATCCAAATAGAGCGTGGACAAATGTTCGTCTTGCTTAGACGCTGTATCAATTTATTATTGACATTTTGCATTCTTGGACAAGACAACGTTAGGTTTTTCTTACGCATCCGTGTTCAATAAGACTGCCTCTATTATTGCAGGGGAAAATATCGTGAGTTTGTGTATGGTATTGCTTTTTTATTTGCCAATAACATCTGATAACCCAGCGGCAATTGTTTAAATCATTGGAATGCTGACTAGACTCCTAAGGTCGAAACACATTGAAAGCGTTCGCTTGCTGCGACAGAAAAGTTGCTGGATGTTGGGAAAGACAACGGGAGGCTGATCCAACTAAAGCAGGTTTTATTACAAGACGGACATTAAGAAGAAAAAAAAACTAAGTTAAAAAAAATCGACGTTTCGAGCCATACCTCTGATGTGTGGCGTGCTAGCCACGGCCTGTAACAGTCGACGCAGCCTGCTATGGGTTCCAGTGCAAGTGCCGTACCAATTAATAAAATGTTTCCAATACGAGTGAATTATTTGATAATCCCTACCAATTTCAAATGGTCATCGCGTAATTCGCCGCTAAGAGTGGCGCAATAATAAAACAACAAGTCGAGAATGCGCAGCGCTGTCCTCTGAGCGTGACGTCATAACGAGCCAGCTGGGGGCGCGTGTTCATTGGTTGCGGTGTGACGTCATAATGTGCGGCCGCCGTGCGTGTTGCAGAAAATGACGTCATTTGGAGGCTTGCCCCATTTTCGCCTGATGAAGACCGCTTGTGTTGCTTATCGAAACGGTTTTTTTTGCTTAAAATTTTCTAGCCACGTGACTTGTCGAAAGAACTAAGAATATGAATTACGTCTGTTTTAGAGGTGATGGTGTGACGTTGTTGTGGTGCACGTGAAACGAATGCGGATCCGTTCTATGACATTGGCTGCGGATAACCTGGCTGCGTTTTACGCCGCGCTCGTCGGCGGTGACGTCACCACGCTGCGTACGTCGCGACGTTGTCGGTGCGTGCCTACGTCATCGGGATCTCGCGCGCGCCTGATAGATGACGTCACTGGTGGGGGGGGGGGATGGGTCGCGCTTTTACGCGTTGACGTCACGACGTTGACGTGCCGGCTCGCGCACGAGCTTTACGCGCTGACGTCCGCGGGCGTGCGCGATGACGTCGAGGGCGTGCGCGATGACGTCGAGGGCGTGCGCGATGACGTCGAGGGCGTGCGCGATGACGTCGAGGGCGTGCGCGATGACGTCGAGGGCGTGCGCGATGACGTCGTGGGCGTGCGCGATGACGTCATGGGCGTGCGCGATGACGTCGAGGGCGTGCGCGATGACGTCGAGGGCGTGCGCGATGACGTCGCGCGGGCGTTAATCTTCCTGGGGTCACGAGTTGACGACGTTCCCTCCATTCATCCGCTCGCCATGGCCGCGTCAACCTCCTCCTCATCCTCCTCGCTGCTGTCTCTGCTCTTCGTGACGGCGCTCACGCTCTCAGCGGCGGAGCCGGTCAAATTCAAAGACTGCGGTAAGTTGGCTGTTAAGCGGTGGTCTTTTATAGTGTAAGGGGTGTGTAATGTACAGTGTCGCGTACAGTGTATTAGAGTACTGTATAGCGTGTGTAATGTTATAGTGTGGAGTGCATGGTGTGTAATGTTATAGTGTGTGGAACGCATGGTGAGTAATGTTATAGTGTGGAGTGCATGGTGTGTAATGTTATAGTGTCTAAAGTATCGTATGTGTAGGTAGGTGCCCTGTTAGTATAATATAGTTTGCAGTATAGTGTACAGCTGCGTGTAAGTAGTGTGTGTGTTGGTGTTTGTAGGACTGTGATGCGTGCTTGTAATGTAGTTGGTGTATGTTTGTTTCACATGTGTGTATCTAATAGTACTTAAGAGTATAAAGTGTTTGGGTCGTAGTGTTTTGTGGACTTATGTGTAGTGCAGTGGTTTACGCGTCTAGTGTAAGGCAGTGGTAGCGAGGGTGGCCAGTTTACTATAGAATGGTTTAAAGTCCATAAAATTGCCTCGTGTTATGTCATTGTTATATAACGCATTGTATACCATACTTGCTACAACAACATACAACACTTGTGGGTGTCTCGTATGAACAATTCGGACACTCTTCTCTTGTATTCCTTTGCTGGCTGTGAGAATGGACAGAAGTACATTAGAGGAATTAACTGTTCACGTGCAAAACATTTCGAAACATCTCTCTTCCTTATCTTTACGTAAGTTACATATATTTCCGTCTTTCATACTATTCGCTTTTCAGACCTGTGTTAATCAGAAATATAAAGGTTTTGTCCCCCATCTCTGGGCCTGATCAGAGCCAAGCGTGTTTTAACCCTGAAGATGTATTAGCTCGCATCAGATGTTGTTGGTAAGTGCCATCTCTCCACGCCTTGGGCCGTCAGATAAATAGAGAATTTGCGTAATATTTGACCAAGCACTGTGTAACAGTGAAATGAATACTAAGAGCGGAAGGTGAGTTATTGAATTTACTGTGCTGTAATCATTCTCGCCACTCAATCCATTGCACATTGGAAGCCTCACCGCCGATTAGCACGGTTGGCTACGTACGGTGCGAAAGAAGTTCAACATACGACCATCGCGTTTGCCAATTAGGGTTTATGAAAGGGGCTGGGTAGGGAGATGATCAGGACCGATTCCCCTTAACCGCGAATCGAACTCTATTCAAGAGTGAGTGCCGTGGCTCGCCATTGAGCCCCACCGCATTCACTCACACGCGTAAGTGAAGGGAGCAAGAATATTCTTTGTTTCTTTCGGTTAAGTCACGTCTAAAGATAAAATAATAAATTAAAATAATAGCATATTACGACGTTTCGATTGCAACACAAGCAATCATCATCATATATATTTAAGGGACCGTCACAGAAACGACCCCTCTCTTTGTGCCGATATGTGTCCTCTCTCTGTGTGCCGTTGTGATGTCTGTCTGCTTGTATGTCTGTTTATAGTTTTCTAGTTAGATTTTTGTTGCTATTTCTTTTATGCCTGATGATGATTGCTTGTGTTGCAATCGAAACGTCGTAATATGCTATTATTTTAATTTATTATTTTATCTTTAGACGTGACTTAACCGAAAGAAACAAAGAATAATTCCTGCAGTCACGAAAGCTCCAAAATTAAGATGGAGCAAGAATATGTTTGTTCATTCGTGAAAGAGGTGAATATCCAGGGTGTAGAGGTGAACGTGTGTAAATAAAGGGCGTTGATCGTGGGTCAAACACAAAGGATCTCCGCCATCCCTGAATACGAACGGTGGGTGGTGGAGCGTGTCAAAACAACACGGACAATGTGGGAACTCTGCACATGGCAGTAGGAACAGCAGAGCACACTATTCTCGAAAAAATTCCCACTTTTTGATCGGTGTGCAGTTGAGTAACTGTTGTAATCACAAGGGATTTGGGTGGGGGAGGGGACAAACATCCAGATAGCAAATGTTGGAACACTGTTGTCACATGCTTCATGTGTTGGAGAGATGCGTCATCAAGATTTGAATCACGTGAATCTCGTAAGAACAAAACTATCTCATCCTGCTACCCGCCCCCCACCCGGGTACGGGTCGGCACAAAACAACTGAACACAGCAATTCCACACTGCCCAGCGGCATGTTCCCGATTACGAGAGCTGATGCCGTGTGACTGCATTTGTCAAACAGCCACGTGAGGCTGACTCATGCCCTCCAAATTTTCGTTGACAATTGTCAATACCAAGCTTTGGGCCATCATCTTCCATTCTAATAATCCATTTGCTTCACAAATCAATCGCCTAACTTCCCGCCCACCCGTCACGATTCTTCTCTCCACTAGTTCGCTTAAATGTCTCTCTGGATAATTCTGCGGCGTGCGAGCGGTGCTGCAATGGTTAGCGCACTGGCTTATCTAGTGAGCATGCAGCTCGTTAGAAAACGAACTACACCACCTCGAGGGGAGGAGAGAGACACACCGAAAGGCATACCCACGCACAGAGAGACACACAGAGAGACACACATACATACAGAGAGAGACAACCACACATCCACACAGAGACACACACAGAGACACCCAGACATACAGAGAGAGACAACCACACAGACACAGAGAGAGACAACCACACAGAAACACAGAGAGAGACAGACGCATACAGAGACACAAACAGAGGGACACACCCAGAGAGACACCCACACACCGAGACATACACACAAAGTGACACCGAGAGAGAAACACACAAAGAGACACGAGAGAGAGACATAAGGAGACGAACACAGAAAGAAAGAGACACAAAACCGACGAGAGACACACAAAGAGACGCACACAGAGAGACACACAACATCACAGGGTATTGCTGGTGTCTACAAACTAAGTTGTGTCTGCGGTAGCAGTTACATTGGGGAAACGAAACGACATGTCTCGGACCGTGTTCGCGAACACAAGGCAGATTTTAAACAGGGCAGAACCAATATCTCTGCCGTAGCTGGATTCCTCTAGTCACGAAAGCTTAACATCAACATTTAACAAGTATTAATTATATCTCAGACATGGCCTGGTGCCTCTTTCTGCTCTATGCTGATGTGTTGTCTGTGTCATAACTTTAAGTTGTTAGTACTTTGATTCAGATTTATTTTAAACCCCGTCATAAACATTTTTTTCTCACACTTGTTTAGTTTACTGACTCGGAGATATACTGCGCAAATCATTGCTCTGAACAGCCCAAGGACGTGTTCAGTCTGGAGGTGACGCCGTGAAAAAACTGGTTCTTTTTTACTTGTGCATTGTAAATGTTGTTTTGTCAGAAGGGCCTAGAGTAGTTTTATGCAGTCGGCTGACTCGGTGTAGCTTAATCATCTCTGAATTCTGCACCTGGGTGTAAAATGCTATTTCTTATATATTGCGGTAATAATGGTCACCTACATAAGTAACTAAATGTATTACGTTTGTTATGTATTGTACGCTGTATAACATACTTCTCAAAGGGGGGCTCAAGAGTAAGAACAATGTCTAACAAAGTCAACTATTACCACTTACTTAAATTTTCCAAAATATTATTTCTACCGTGCTTGTTTATGGGTCCATTCTCTCCTCCGTCTGCTTTGAGCATGAATTCCACACAACTCCCCCTCTGCCCCCCCATCTCTCTCTAAGGCCTCGACACAGACGTTGTCTTTCTGTGTGCCTATGTGTGTGTCTGTCTCTGTGTGAGTCTCTCTCTGTCTGTGTGTCTGTGTCTATGTTTTGTGTCTCTCTCAAATTTAGCAATCTTTGGAGGAACGTAATCAACCAGGTGGGGTGTTGACTGTTATGTTAGCCGACTCTCTGTGTTGTATTGCATTATATTTCCAAGTTTACAATGTTTGTTTCTCATTCATGTGTACCTGATGATGGTTGCTTGTGTTGCAATCGAAACGTCGTATTCTATTATTATTTAATTTAATTTCTTTCGACGTGACTTTACCGAAAGAACCGAAGAATAAAAAAAAACAATGTTTAACCATTTGTCAATCCACTGCTTGATGAAGGCATCACCATTTGTTCAAGGTCGGAAATAATGGCAGACAGCACGTGAACATCCTTTATTATAACGTTGAGTAAGGAGTGCGAGATGAGCTAAAGATTTATTCAAATCCCTTTGTCATTCTCCTATTTCCCAAATACGAAGATTACTTTTGGGTAAATCGCTAAAATGTAACAGTACCGTAATACATTTTTAGAAAAGAGATTACGTCAAATTTTAAACGGGCATTATCGGGTTAAATATTGTACGGAGTATTGTTTTGTTTATGGATTTTAGGGTGGGACGGTAGCACAGTGATTAGAGCACTGCACTCTGAAACCAGCAAATCAGTCATACTGTAAACATTCCATAGGCCGCGAATCCCTGTAATTTGTGGATTATTGGCGGTTCGCAAATGTTCCCATGATCCCTAGTGGAACCCCGCAGTGGTTTAAAACGCTTGGCGGATCACGATTCATAGAGCTGCAGAATAACATGGAGGTATCTTCTTGGTTCTTTCGGTAAAGTCACGTAGAAGGGAAATTATAAAATAATAAAAAACATAATAAAATATAATTCTCACGACGTTTCGGCCACAACGCAAGCAGCCGTCCTCAGATGAAGAACAGGTCTGCCGGAAAGACAGCGTCTGAATGAATACCACCAAGCTTGCGTTGTGGCCGAAACGTCGTGAGAATTGTATTTTATTATATTTTCTTTTTATTATTTTATTTCCCTTCTACGTGACTTTACCGAAAGAACCAAGAAGATGAATCCCTGCAGTCACGAAAGCTTTAAATCGAAATTTAACATGGAGGTAATTTTTATTTTTGGTTTGCATTACACAGACTAGCCTCGCTAACGTATTTTGTATAGTAAGACTTCAAGATAAGTTTTCATAATTGTGTATCAAGTAAAAAAATGGAGGAAAAAACCCTTTACCCAAAATTACGTTATAACCCATAACCTAATAATCCGTGAAAATATTGCAGATTATTGGAATTGTGCAGATAATTCCTCCCATAATCCGTGGCACACTGCGTTGGCGTGAATTTATTTGTGGATTGTAGGATTCGCAACCCCAGTTCAATGCGGATGATTTGATTCCTGCTGTGGATACCATTCTTGGGCACGACCAGGAAAGGTACTACAGCAGGAATCAAATCCTGGGCACGGCCAGAAATGATGATGAGTGATATCTGAATTGGTCATGGGGTACCCCCTTCACCGGCCCACACTAGGCAGCATGGTCAAGTATGGTCACACCCCCCCCCCCCCCCCCATAGTGCAGAAAGTTTAAGATATTAAAAATATCTTTGGAAGATCTCTGCTGAAAACCTTACGTGTTTTGCCAAGTCCAATAACTTGAATCCGCTATGAAGCTGTCAATCAAACCAATCAATTTCTAGTCTCAGAGTTGGAATGAGCCAAATTGGGTGAAAAGGCACATTTTTGTGCGATGATTGGTGACTGGGCTGAGACGATCAACTCGCTCACACTTTAAGGAACCCGGAATTGAGACCAGAATCTCAGAGGTACTGGCTCAGTTCTCTGACCGTTGAGCCACCCAGTCACCTCTTCACCTATTATGGTGGAGCGTTTTATTGCCTGGAAAATCAGATTTTATTGGCTCGTGTTAAAAAGGAGCAGTTAAAGCCTGGTCAGTGTTTTATGTTTGTTTTAGTTCCCCATAGTGGTGTGCTTGACGAAGGTATTGTCAGCGTTTTACTTGTCTCGCTGTGGATTGCACAGCTAGTGCGTGTGTACACAGCAAAGCTCAGCATGTTCTGTGCTGCAAGGTCGCGTTGAATCTGTGCGCGGTGCAAGTGTGTGGTTGGGTGTTCAGTGATTACGCAACAGGGTTTGCTTGTTGTCTGAAAGCCAGCTCAAGAAGTAGTTGTCATCGCAAGACTTATCTAAATAAAAGTGTATTTGTGTGGGTTTATATTTTTTAGTTTTCCAATAGTTTGTCATTAATCTTCAGAGTAGGGGTTGTGTTAGGAGGATCAAGCAGGATAGTACTCCAACTCAATGCATAGGGGACACTTGGATGCAATAGATTTTGCAGCAGAGAATATATTTCACTGCTATGGCGAAACCATAATGATGATATAATTGGTAAACATTCTCAGTAAATGAAATAGTTATTATTTCGTTCAGTTTGTTTAGAACCCCGTGATATATTTTTTCAAAGATATCTATCTAGGTTAGTTATCAATTCTTTCATATAACCTAATGGTAATTTAAGCATTTGAATTATAGCCTATTACACTACCCTTAATGGACCTATCCTTAAAAGGTACAGTATATTTAACGCCCACTACATTGGCAATTCGCCACAGGCGTATGAAGCGTCTGCAGAAATGGACCCATTACGTGCAAGCTGGTCAGTTGCAATCTTTTTCCACAACTTCACACTAACCATTGGATTTCTCAACCATTGTTAACAAATGTGCTGTTGTGCCGTAGTTTATCACGGTGGTCAGTGCGGGTTGTTGCAGGTGGGGAGTGCGTGGTGTGTAGTGAATATTTAGCTGGTCCTCAATGAGTGAGCGAGTTACGTCAATTTTAATGATGTTCTCGAATAGCTCCATAGCTGAAAATATGCACAAATTAAATCGGTTAAGTGACGAGATTAATCTAAACACTTTTTTATTTCTGGTTCACAATTTATGTTTTCTTTTTTTAACTTAGACTTACAAAGGTTTTTATCGGGAGGTTTTGATGGATATTGAATCCAAATATAATCTCAGATTTTCACAATCACATTTGCAGCGTACTTTTTGAAGAATGTGACATTAAATTAAATAAATAGCATGACCAGACCATTCCTTGGTGTACAGGTTTATTAACACAACTGTGCTTTTTGTCTTACCTTGCCTTTCCCCTTTCAGGTTCCCAGACGGGAAAGATATCAGCGGTGAACATAATCCCCTGTCCTACCCAGCCCTGCATCCTCTGCAAGGACAAAACCTACAACATCAACGTGACCTTCACCAGCGGTGAGCAGCAGACACGTCGCCTTGGGTTTGGAATAGTGGGAAAATATATGGATCAGTATAATAGTAGTGGTGATTGTAAGGGTTTTTTTTATCAGCAGAGATGAAATTGTGACATCGCCACTTCAGCCAAGATGATTCTTTGAGCTGTGCCGCACAAATGTGCATTTTCCACCTCAATCAGCGAATGCCGAATATGGAGAAAGCATTTAGCATGGTGGTATTTTAAGGGATAATATAGCACCTGTTTGAATTACCATGCCTAGCTGTGAATAAATTATTGTTTATAGATAAGATATGGATTGTGTTATGTTATTTGACCGTGGGGAGAGCCAGACGACATTTGTTTTGATTTTAAAGACAAACATCGGTAATTGTAGTCGCATATATAGTAATATTTACGACTCACGGACAGCCTGTCCTATGGATGGGGTGACATGACACTCTTATGACATTAACCCGGCCCTAGTCATTCTCAATGTCTTTCTGTTGCCTTTGACCACATCAGGCAGAATGTGCCCAATCTTGTCAGATCTTTGATGATAATCAGGATATGAGCCTGGTGGATAGTGCTTGGATGGGTGACAGCATTGCTAGCGTGGGTGGGCAGCAAAAAGTAGTCCAGCACAAGCCATTGTTGTACTGTACTTGTCTGCATCCATGTCTATGGTCCCTACATTCACTAACCTGCACTGACTGAGGTGTGGTCAAAGAATGTCCATCACATGTAGAGGGCTGAGGAGGCCCTCATTCAGCAGTGGTTTGATTAAAGGACTGTACATGTACATATTGTTACTTATCACACATGGTATTTCGTGTGTGAGCGACCAAATTCTCTCTAGATTTTTTTGTGATGCGTGCCCTGGTTCACACTTCCTGCTCCCCCTGCCAACCCTCTCAACCTTGTTCCCCAAACCCCAACAGACACGGAGAGCCAGGGCTCGACGGCGGTGGTGCACGGCATTCTCGCGGGGATCCCCATCCCCTTCCCCATCCCCAACAACGATGGCTGCAAGTCGGGTATCACATGCCCGATCGCCAAGAATCAGGCTTACACCTACGACGTGGGGCTGCCCGTCAAGTCCGACTACCCCAGCGTGAGTCTCCCATAGCCATAACCACCAGCATCTTTGCACCATGGCCGTGTACTAAACCAGGGGTCGGCAACCAAAATAACAAGAAGAGCCATTTCTTTCCAATTCGGTACAAAATTCAGTATTTCAAGAGCCGCAATGCATCTGAGTACATACTGTACATACGAACATATCGTCAAGAAGCAACCCGTAAAGAGCCGCATGCGGCTCCGGAGCCGTAGGTTGCCGACCCCTGTACTAAACTAACTTGAACTATCAACTTAAACTATTTTATTTTACCAGGTAAGGCCCACTGAGCTATATTGCAATTTCTCAGAAGCGACCTGGCCACAAATGATAGCTCAACGAAGTGGCTTATGTGGAAATGTATCGCAGCCAAATACTCTAAATGCATGTTTCTAAATTCCCGACACTGGGCACATTCATCTGTGGTGGAAGCTCACAATTTAACCCGTCATTGTAAAAGTACCGGATCATTTCCAGAACATTGGCTCCTAAACTAACAAAGCCATCCGATACATTGTTGTGTCTAGCTTAAATCTGAAAATTTACGAGTGATTTGTATTTATTGTCAGGCAAAACGAAACATCCTCTGACAACATTCCATTGTTTTAAATATTTCTGTGGTCTCACTTAAGTCTTTATGATTTTGTAAGTTTACAGATTGCTCGAGGATGCCTGTGGAAATTAGATGGTTTAACCTTGCGTCAGTGTTCTCAGAAAATAATTTAACATTTTGAACAAAATGTGACAAAGCATTCCCCTTGAACCATTACAATCACTCTCGGTTTTCTCACCTGGTGTAAACCACAAGAAAATCTGTTTAAGTTGATTGGTTATTTGACTTGATGCGTTTATTTGTGAAGCTAAACTAGTCAAATACTCTAAATGCATGTTTCTAAATGTGGAGGAAAAAAACCAGAGAAACATCCACGCAACCACGGGGAGAACATGCAAACTCCAAATATACATGTGTCAGGGTCAGGATCAAACCCACAATCTCTTGTATACCAGGTGAGGTAGTTAACATCTCTCTCGCGTGGCTGATTTGCTTTTCTGTGCCGTTTCAGATCAAATTGGTGGTCAAGTGGGAATTGAGGGACGACAAAGCAAACGATCTTTTCTGCTTCGAGTTCCCGGTGGCCATCAGCAGCTGCTAAATCCATAGCACAGAAACCAAGGCGGAGTGTGACAACACCTGCTTGTTGTCACTTTGCCTTTGGTACCATAAGTACGGTTATGTGATTTGTCCAATTCATGACCCTGATCACGTGATGGATTAATTTCATTGAGTCAATGCAATACCCTGGTGACATGATAATATATTCTTGGCCCTGGTAATTCTATTCATCCTATCTGTCAACCCAGTCATGTGATCGATTGTGTGCGTTTTTGATAAGATAATTTTTTTATGGTTACCAGGTCAGCTTTATTATACTTCACAGATTGAATGTGTACATTTAAAGACGTTAAAATTATGAGTTTTAACAGTTTTTTTTTTATAAATGCTCACACAGTGCCTTTGACTGACCTTTTTTTTAATACGAATGTTCAATCCCAGGAATAATTAAATAAAGTGCTGTTTTCAAACGTTATCTTGGAGTTTGCATCTATAGCACTCTGGATAAAGAGTTTTAAATCAATATGGGGTGATGGATTTTCTCTTTCCTGAGTGCAATCGAGTTTTTTTGGGGAACCCCTAAAAATGTTAACTTAAATTTTTTTTTATGGAAACCACATTTTTTGTCAATTCAAAATGGAACAGCATGCAAAGTTATGCAAACGTCACACCAGGCAGTCCTGGCTAAGTATTGTAGTATAAAGGTGACGAGTATTTGATTGTACTGTTCCAGAATTGGCAAGTGGTTTAAATGGTGATTTTACAACATTGATTTCAGTATTACAAAGCCTCGAAAGCAAAGCTGTAAAAGTGCTACATTTGGTCGAGATGTTAAGAAAACGGATCTCCCTGGGCACATACGGATCAGAAACATGGAACGTTCACACAAAAAACCTGAGAAATGTAGAACGCGTGGATAGAGGTTCATCTTTGAAATTTAATTGAAAGTGGAAATCGTAAATCTGAGAACATACACAGGCTTGGGCAAGACACTTGAAGGGTGGATGATAGCTCTCATGGTTGATGGTAAGGATGGAAATGGCATGATGAAATCGGTTTGTGCTGTAGCAGCATAGTTTAATTTCAAGACTGATAGTGATTGCTGAGAGAGGCCTTCAGCAGTGGATCGATCGTGGCTGATAGTTTTAGAACGCCTTAACTCAAAGCGCTTCACAGTGGTTTAAAAAGCGGTAAGAAACTGGAGTGATTTAGATGACGGGGGCAAGGCCCGAGGAATCGGTGACTGCAACACGGCACAAACGGGTAGTGGAGGGCACGGGAAGGAGTGGTGGGGCGAGGGAAGAGGAAGGGAATGGGCAATGGAAAAGAGGTGACCTTTGAGATGGGAGTGAAATTACGAGATTGGCAGTCGAGGGTGGGGCGTGTGATGGTGCATAAACACATTCCTGCGGAGGGAGCTGGTAGGAACGTTGGGTTGCTCGGTCAATGGCCAGGGTCAACGGCGGCGTGGTGTATTCCGCAAATATGGCAGACTGTGAGGGCGGGCACAAGCCGGCGTGAGTAGGTTAAACGTTGAGTTTTATAAGGGCACCACGGGGTGACCAGCCCCACCCTCCCCACCCAGCCCCTCCCCACCCCTCCCACCCAGCCCCTCCCCACCCTCCCAGCCCCACCCAATTTTTGGATCCAGGACGGACGGACACAATAATCCCCTGTGGGCTGGTGGAACCAGGTGGTTCCTACCAGTATTATAAATACAGTACATTATTTTCTGACCCTGCATTAGACAAGCACACCGTTTAACTAAAATAAATTCGTCAATAACACTGCCTTTAAAAAAGGATTCATATTCTTAGGTTTTTTTCGGTAAAGTCACGTAGGTAAAACATCAAAATTAATGTTTTGTTTTATTTTATTTTTTATTAATTTTGATGTTTTACCTACGTGACTTTACCGAAAAAAACCTAAGAATATTTTCCTAGGCTACATTATGACCTTATGCAGAGGCTTAACCTCGCATCTGGCAAAACGTTTAGTGCCGATGACGTCATTCCGTCACCTACCTGTCGACGTCACTCGGCGGCGCAACGTGTCCTCAGGCGACATGACGTCACGCGAGTAGAAGAACAGACGTGGGTGCAAGCGAGCCACGCGATACGTCAACAAAGAATCACGTGACAGTCATAGACGGGGGGGGGGGGTGCCACGTTGGAAAAAAAAACAGCCACGTGACGCGCGGAGGAGGTGCCACGTGGAGTGGGGGCGGGGACAACGGGGTGGGGGGGGCAATAGACTCATGCGATTCGTCAAAACCGCGTCACGTGATTTCCATCGGCGAGGGGGGGGGCCATGGTGGCAGCAGGAAGTGAACGTGTCACGTGATCCGCGGAGGAGGCGCCACGTGGAGTGGGGGCGGGGACACGCGGGGGGGGGGGGCAATAGACTCATGCGATTCGTCAAAACCGCGTCACGTGATTTCCATCGGCGAGGGGGGGGGCCATGGTGGTGGCAGCAGGAAGTGAACGTGTCACGTGACCCGCGGAGGAGGCGCCACGTGGAGCGAGTGAGGGAGGAGGAGGAGGCGGCGGCGTTTGGCGGCGACAGCAGCAGCAGCGACAGAACGATGGAGCGGCTTATCCGTACGGCGCTCGCTCTGCTGCTCCACGCGAGCCTTCTCTGTGCCGCCGAGGTCACATTCGAGCTGAAGGACAACGCCAAGCAGTGCTTCTATGAAGACATCGACCAGGGAGTCAAGGTGACGCTCGACTTCCAGGTGAGGAGATGCGAGGGCGGTCTGCGGCGCGGCTGGGCCCGGTGTCTGCGGCGGTGTTTCCACGGCCACGGCGGGAAGCGTGCCGGCTCTGCTCGGTTCGGTTCGCGAGCCGGTGCCGTAAGACTTTATTAAGGCAGTGGTTTAGCTACCGATTGTGTGCCGGATTGCCACCGCTTGAGACACAAAACAACACTGGGACGTGTCATTGGTTAACAATATTTTAACAATACCGGAAGACGGTAGAGCTACGTGTACAGTGCATTCATTGTGATGTGTTGTAACGCCACTCTTAATGTTCCGCGAATACTTTCAGAAATTTCCCAGGACCCCTACCGTAAGAGGCTGACGACGATCCTGGTTCAAGGCAATAGAGTCCTGGTGACAACCGCCTTCGTGTGCCCGTGGCACGATTTCACCGGAGCCCAGGGGCCAGATCGGACTGTCCCAGGCGCCGGATTGTGAAGAGTTTTGGGGGGAGGGGAGGCGATTTGACAGGGCCTGGGTCCCCAAATGGGTCCCCTGATGGGTCCCTATTTCTACTTCTGGCACCAGGGACCGTGCCCACCACGCCACGCCACTGACTGGAGGCTTAGTCGTGGTGGAGATTGATTTATGTGAACCTTCGCGATGGGACTGATCACGGAGATATTCGTACAGAACGTGGGTTCCATCGTGAACTTGACTGTCAGAAATGTTGAGAGGTCATCCCCTCGTATGTGTCGCGGGTTTCTCCGGGTACTTTGCTTTTCTCGTGTACGAAGCCGATGTCTTTATTTTGAAAGACGCAGGGCAGATAATGCGATGTGACAGGATCCTTCTCAAAGGGTTCTTGACACTGTAGGGATGGATGTTTTTCTGGATGAATAAATGACATAAATTTAGATCAAACTTTTAAAATTAAAAACTATTTAAATTTGACCAGGTAAGCCCCACTGAGCTATATAGCTCTTTTTCAGAAGCGATGTGGCCACAAATGATATCTCTATGAAGTGGCTTATCATGTGCACATTTAAAGCAGTCAAATACTCTAAAAGCACGTTTCTAAATGTGGAGAAAAAAACGGAGGACCCGGAGAAAAATCACGCGACAAACGGGGAGAGAGACACGCAAACTCCAAATACACAGCAGCAGGCGTCAGGGTCGGGATCGAACCTACGACCTCCTGTATACCAGGCGAGGTAGTTAACATCTCACTAACGTTTGCATACATACACTTTTATGCACAGTGATTGTTTTTTTTTATGTTAACATATGCTCAGCACTTATTAGTTAATTTGGCCAGGTAGTAGCAACCCTTCTGAAAAGATAATTCAGACTCAGTGAGGCTTTGCTGGGTAAATTAAAAAAATCATTGTGATGTGTTATACTGTCATACCCATGGTGGGGAACAACCACCAAAGACTTCCCGACAAAGTAGTACGTATTTTATACGACCCTTTGAGACCTGATGAGCAGAAAAAGCATCGAAGTGAGTGTAGAGAGTGGTGCTCATCTCTCCAGGTGGGCCAATGGTGTAAATTACACATTTCCTTTGGCTGTAGCGAGCCAGTGGTGAAAATTCCACATTCCTGTTGCTCTAGTCAGATTGTTCAAATTGTAACCACTGCTGATGTTCCTTGAAGCGTTACTCGATTTTATCAATCCACAAAAAGATCATGAACTCGGTGGACCCCCTGACAGGAATTTGAACTTTTGACTCAACTGTCTTTGTCAAGTGCATGAGGCGGGTGGGTGGCAGAATGCAGTGGGATTTCGATTGCCTGTCTGTTGGTATATTCTCTCGTGTATACAAAATATTACTGGTAGGAACTTCCTGGTTACACCAGCCCACAGGGGATTATTGTGTCCGTCCGTCGTGCATCCAAAAATGGGAGGGGTGGGGCTGGGCGGAGAGTGGAGGGAGGGGAGGGTGGGGAGGGGCTGGGTGGGGCTGGGTGGGGGGTGGGGCTGTGTGTGGAGGGGCTGGTCACTCCGTGGTGCCCTTATAAAACTCAACGTTTAACCTACTCACGCCGGCTTGTGCCCACCCTCACAGTCGGGCATATTTGCGGAATGCACCACGCCGCCGTTGACCCTGGCCATTGACCGAGCAACCCAACGTTCCTACCAGCTCCCTCCGCAGGAATATGTTTTCATTGTATTGAATGCTGCTTCTTCAATAATCACACTTTTCCTCCTCGTATAATCTCATAACATGTTTGCCAAATGACCTGAAGCACACACAGATCCCATCAGATCTCCGAAGCTAAAGACGGGCTTACTCAGGGTAGCGATTGGATGGGCGTCCACTGTGCAGTAGGCTGGTGCTGCTGCGAGGGCTATGTTGTGGGCAGCAAAATCCACTGTGGAACTGTACTTCTATGCTCCCCGCCTTCTCCTACCCGTACTGACCATCGTGTGGTGAAATATGGTCAAGTAACCCCCGAGACACACGTGGCATGGGGAGGCCCTCATCCAGCAGTGGATTGAAAGAAGGATGTAGACGTTTTTGTTGTGTAATTGTATATAGCCTTCTCTTCCGCCGCTATTAAATTACCCTTTACATGTCCAAATTATAATCCTATACATTTGCATCTAATTTGTTTACTGGGTTATCTGAATAAGATTATTAGCCATTGAATTGCCTCCTCTTGCCTTGCTGTGTATACAATGCAGTATTTGAATATGTCTGTGTGCATTGAGCGTATTTCCCGTTACAACCCACCACATGCACGCATTGCTCTACTCTGTCATGGTTGTACATGGTTAAACGATACAAACGTGGCGGTTAAAACAAAAGAGAATTGATTATTTCATTGTGAGCCAGAATGTTGAGAACCCGTGAAAATGCTAGCAACGGGGGTGGTGAACCATTGTGACCAGTGGAGAGTTTGTCCCAGTGTTACGTCGAGCCTGCAATGTCCATCGTGATAGCGTAAGCAACATTCAGTTGTGGTGGAAGCCTTGGACAAAGGGAGTTACGGTAGTTAGGTTTGGCGACTCTGCACTAAATTGGTACAGATCAGAGGTCGCAATCGGGTACCCGATACCCGTACCCTACCCGATACCCGGCTACCCGTACCCGGCCAGGTACGGGTAGCCGTTTGCGACCCTGGTGCGGCCGGGTACGGGTACGGGTAGGCCGTGAGTCAGTGGTGAGTAGCCGTTTGTCACTCATTTCGGGTAGGGTACAGGTACCCATTTGCGACCCTGGTGCGGCCGGGTACGGGTAAGGAATCAAAACCCGTTTGCGACCTCTGGTACAGATACACACCAGTGCTATATCTTTGTCTTCTAGGCAAAGAGGAAACTGTGACAATGTTTGCCGTGCTCTTCTCCTCTTCTGCTTGTGGATGGTTGTAGTGCATGTCAACACGTTGGCTCGGTTGTACCCTTGTGGCGTCTTGTCTGCAGGTCTCTGGGCAAATCGGATATCTCTTCTTGCTTTTCAGAGCTCGTGTTTTGATTGGACATAAGAGTCTCATCCTGGACAAAATTTTATTTAAAAACTGTCAGATTGCACGTAATAAATAGCGTAATATGAACTGCAATCTTATTGATTGATAATTCAGTTGTCTACAAGCCAATTATACACGAGTCACATGTCATCAGGGTAATTTGCCAATGAAGTTTCGATATTAGATTCAATCAATGGCGGAGCCAGGATTTTCAGGTAGGGGGGGCAACCCCTCCAGCAATGAAAAATGATAGGAGTTGTTTGTATGTAAGGATTTGTCCCTTGATTTTTATTTGACGCGTGTGCGACGATGGTGCAGCCATCGATCGAGGGTCGAATTTGAACCGTGTGTGATCGGCATCGTGCTCGCTGAAGGTGTTTGCCTTCAGGGAAGTCGTGTCCTGTATACGCAACTGTGCACAATTCTGTGAGTCACTTATAACCGCTTTGCCGTTACTTATTGCCAATTATGGACTCAGACTATTGTCCTATCATCTCATAGAGTCCCTGGCACCTAATAATATGCTACACAGTGGCAGCTGAGGTCACAAAATGCCGATTTATTACTAATAAGCCCCAATGATCCGATCGAAATTAGGGATTTAGATCGGATCATTGGGGGGGCACGTGCCCCCCCCCCCCCCACAGACTCTGCCAGTGGATTCAATCCTCTTTGGACCCTAATGATACAGGATTTCAAAACATTTTTTATTTTCATTTAAAATATATTTGTCTATTTTTCACAAACATTATTCCAGTTGTGCTGTCGTGTCGTGAGTTCGAACAACCCACTCAGTTCTCTCGCTGGAGCAGTGTGACCCTACCCATGGTAGAGAGAGTGGTCTGTGGAAAGAGACCTCGCCAGAACCACTGCTACGATCCCTGTTCGTGTGACCCCTTTTATTCCCACACTCGAGGGGAACGCTTTATTGCTACAGAAGGATACTTCTTCTAAGCTGGACCCAAAGAGTGACCAACGTAGAAGTCAGAAAACGTTTGCACATAGAAGAAGACTTGATGCACACGTGTAGGATGGACAACAACAGGAAAAATAAAAGTGTGGTGTTTGGAAAAATGAAAGGAACCGTAAAGATAGGGAAGACCTTAGAGAAAATGGCTTAATGACGTACGAGATTGATGCCAGAAAGATGTGGCACTATTTGAGAATATTGACACAAGATAGAGGAAAGTGGAAACGAATGACACAATGTGCAGTGGACACCTACGGGGCAATCTGCCCATGGATAGTGATTATGAGAGGGGACGTTGAAACCCGGATTCCATCTCGGCTGTAATGCAAATCCTTTTCCTGAAAATTGATGAGAAAACCCATCGCAACGACAGGGAAAATGCAAGCAGGCTGGAAGCAAATAGTCTCAGAGAGGTGCCAGCTCGGCACTGACCTTTGAGTCACCTGGCGACCTCTCCAGCATCTGTATTATTTGTACACAGTAGTGAAATATATCTGGGATTGTATCTGTGCTTGTGCAATGTACGGGTGGACACGTTAAGTGGGTCATTATTTATACACCCTCATCCCCACCGTGATTCAAACAATTGTGGGAATTCATGGTTGAGAATTACAGTAATTCAAGAATCTGTCTTTCCCATTGGAGCAAATGCAGCAGACATGCAGCGAAGTAGTAACCAATCACAAATATTTAAATGTGAATCTGTTAATTATAAGGTATGGTGACTGTAATACAAACAACGAGGTGTCCGCTTAAATCCTTATACATTACAAAATGGGCAATGGGTCCATCATAACAAATCTACTCTGTGACCTCCCTCGGGTGTAGGGAGGGACTGCCAATTAGGAATCACTGAAGCAGTGGAGTTGTTGGTCTGTAATTTTCCCCATTACATACAACGTATTTATATCGATAAACATAAATTGTTTCACGCGCAATTACATTCTTCAATGCACGTATCACGAGCGTAAGAATTGACATTGCAGTGCAAAGTCACATGCGACTCGCTGGGGACTGATGTATAGGCGGTTATGTGAAAGTTGGATTTGCAGAAAATAACATTTGCACCACCTTGCACAATTGCTGTACTGGGTGTGGGTGGTTAATTGGTAAGGGCGGTTAATTGGTCAGGGCGGTTAATTGGTCAGGGCGGTATATGTGACGGTTGGACGAACTGTATTCTGATTCGTTCAACCTCTTAATAATCGGTACTTTTTATCCATTGCCGGTAATCGAAATTGTAGTTACAAATTAGAGAGCAGTGCTGTTCCGTCTTGTTGAATGGACATCAGTTCGCCGGTCTGCCACGTATCCACTGCGGCGAGGTGCGTGGTCGCCGTGGCTTTGTGCCAAGAGCTGTTTGACAAACTTTCCAGCTCTGTCAAATCCTGGTAGCCCGACATTAAAGTTTGTATTTTCTGCGCAAACACGCGTGTACCTCGAGTTTCTGTTTAACGCTTTTCAACAAAGGGTGAATGCGTGAGTGCATTAGCTGCACCAGTATTTACGTAACGAGGGGGAACGATAACTCTCGTTAAGATGTCCTATTATATACATATGTTGAACTTTTTTTGCACGGTACGTAGCCAACCGCACCCATAGGTTCTGATGGGAATGCAACTTTGGTATACAGTTGTGTTGCTACGAGAGCCTTACCCTAGAGATATTGGATACATTGTTCAAAGGAAATGATTAAGCCTTTCCAAGCAAGGTGATGACATCATACACATGTGATGTCATCTGGTTTGCCACGGCCTTGAACACAACGTTATTGTCAATTAAATACTCCCCGGGAAAAAAAATGCACGCTGAAGAGCGTTACGGGGATCCCGTGCCCCTGCACGGTCTTTCTCCCCCGTGTTTTTGACGTTAAGTGTAGTCTCGTGATCTCGAGCGGTATTCGCTCGATCGGACTAAAAACTGACGGGCGTGCTGCTCCCACAGGTCATCACGGGCGGGAACTACGACGTGGACTGCCGGGTGAAGGGGCCGCACGACAGCGTCCTGTACAACGAGAACCGCAAGCAGTACGACAGCTACGCGTGGACCACGGAGCAGCGCGGCACCTACGAGATCTGCTTCAGCAACGAGTTCTCGACGTTCACGCACAAGACTGTCTACTTTGACCTGCAGGTCGGCGAGGAGGCGCCCCTCTTCCGTGACGAGGGGACCCGCGTGGTCGCCCTGACGCAGGTAACTCCGCTCGCCCATCTGTCTTTTGTTGGTTTTTTTTATCGTGATATTTTTCTCCAATTTTATCGCAATTGCGCCATCAACTTCGTGGATTCCTCACGGACCACTGCAACCCCTTCCTGTTCGAGAACAGTCGACGGAAGTAGATGTCACAACGCATTCTGAGATCATATAAACAGACAGTGACCCACAAGTACAAACACCTAAACCCATTTATCAATGACAGTGCCCGATATAATTGGTGACGTTTTGGGGAATGGCCCTTCCCCATCCCAGAGAGATGGTGTTATGGTCAGTACACTGGACTTTGAATCCAGAGGGCACTGTCCAATCTCCCAGCGCAGCAGTTGAAACAGTGGGGCAAGTTTCTTCAGTCCTCCCCACTGCTTCTGCCCACCCAGCAATGTTTCATGGTTACAGCACACTTAGTCGATCGGCAAGTCGCGTGCTGTGGGGTAAATTGTGTCTACTCCACCTCTTCCACGATTTCTGGCCAGCGTGAAAGAGTAGGTCAAAACAATCAATATTTATTTTGTGTGCCAATATCGCCCTCTATAAAGTAGGCACCGGTACACATTACAACAAAACGGGAACGATACAGGCACATTCAGCAACAGGGATTAAAAAGAAGCCCGTCACGCGCTCAGCCGCTAACACTGACCGAGCAGTGGCTTGAGCAAGCAAATGCAGGGCTCCACTTTTACCGTTACCCATACGTACACCCACAACGCGCGGTTAGAAAGAAAATATCCAGGCATCCCAGAGTAATCGCTCTTGAGCCATAGAGCCAGATGCTACAATAACCAACACGACAACCGCCAACATAATTGTTACAACGTTCCAGCTACTTGTGTTGAGTAGTTCCGACGGACGTATTCGTAGACGGAGGTAAGTTAAGGGCTTCCGCCAAGGTTTATTAAAGCTTATCGATATTACACAGGGTACACAACTCCCAGGGGCTAGGGGTCCTACTCTGAGTCCGGGTACCTGCCGGCTAGCTCCGGTCTCTCTCGTATCGGATCGTGGAGTCTGCCGACTCCACCGACCGGAGAGAGAAGCACCTCTACGGCTACCACCGGCTTCGCCCCAGACTCCCTATTTGATCCCTCTCTCTACCCCTGGTTCCCTCTTTACCCTGTTTACTTTCCCCGTTCCCACAGTGTGACCCCGCTTACGTCACGGGGTATCCCTTAAGTATTTTAGGAGACGTGACGTCATGTGCACTGTCCAGCGCGCGTGACCCCACGTCCCGTGACGTCATCGCACTGGACAGCGCACACGACGCCACTACTCTCCTCTACTCCTCTACACTTGTAACAAACACGCACCACCTAAAATTTCCTGTGCCCCATTTCCCTTGTTGCTGTCGTCGTCCCAGATGGAGTCGGCGTGCGTCACCATCCACGAGGGCCTCAAGTCGGTAGACAACTACCAGACGCAGCACCGCCTGCAGGAGACGCAGGACCGCCACCAGGCCGAGGTGCTCAACTCGAGGGTGAACATATGGTCCATCGGCGAGACGGTCATCCTCGTGGTGGTGGGGGTCGGCCAGGTCATGCTGCTCAAGAGCTTCTTCTCGGACAAGAAGGGAGGCTCCACGCGTGTCGGTCTCTAAAGCACTGCTGGGAGTAGGGGGGGGGGGTGGTCGGGTGGTGGGGGGGGGAGGGGTGGCAGGTGCCCAAGGCCTGGTTGTTGGGGGTCAGCAGTTGAACGGCTCACCGTTGTGTTTTGAGGTCGTACTGCGTGTTGTTGCGCACGATGTCCGACGTTTCGCTCAGAGTGCCTGGGAGCATCTTCAGGAAATGAAACATCCGGACGTAGTGCCGGACAGCGTGCAGTACGAGCCGAAAACATACTTTTTTGGAGGGCTATACAGCACAACCGCTCACGCAGGTGGCAGCTCCTCGATTGCGTTGCCGCGTCGGTCACGGCAAAAACGGGCAGAGGGTCGGAGTATTTACGGGATGGGCAAATTGACGATCGTTTTGGGTGCAGTTGTGGTGATTGAGAAAAAAACGTTAATGCTTTGAAAAGATGACAGTCAATCCACTTGTTTGTGCCCTGGCTGACGAGAGACGCGATTTTGGAATTACCCTGCAAAGGGGAGGGCACAGTGTCAATCGCCTGAGTTGATCGAGTGCTTGAATTTGAAAGCAGATTTGGGTGAAAAGTTTTTAAGTTGTTGATTTGGAAGTGAGCAGATATGGGGTCGTCCAAACTCGAGTGCTCGTGATCGACCACGGTTTCCCTTTATTTACGTTCACTGGTATTCTGCTGTAATACAAATTCCGTTACACACTGCATGTGCCTGATGGTGGGTAACCACGTCCCACATGTAGTGGAGATATCTGTATTTAAATTAAGGTAGAGATATTGCGCGCGTGTCTCCCAAGTGACGTAGAGCGCCAGTTGTGAATCGGCGCTCTGTTGGTCATGTAGGATGTGTTTAGCAATCATCAGGCGTGGGCAGCATGTAACGACACAATTTGTATTTGAAAAAAGATGACTGGTAATTGTAAAAAGGTGGACCCACCGGGTAGGTCACAAGTGTTGGCGTTTGGAAAACCCTCGACCTAATGTACACTGGACAACGGTGATACATTTCTTCCAAAAATACCCTTACCAACTGAGATTATACTTTCAAAAAGTATCTGACAAAATCAAAATTTAAGCAGTAAGCATTTGACAATTCATTGAGTCATCAATTTGAAACTGTTATGCACACAATAACGCATGGAATATCGCACACCAAGCAACGGGGCAGGAGAGAGTGTTGCCATAGCGATGCATGCCTACTGACACCGCGGGGCCAAAAGCGAATGAGCTTTATAAACGTTCGCTATGTAAAGAAAATGGTAAGTATGTGAAAATAAAATGCTGCACGAAGACAAAACTAAAAAGTGGATTCTTTAGTCCAGATTAAAAGTAGATTGCATCCATAGACAGATGAAGACCAGATTGAAATTGAACCAAACCTATAATAAGAGTTCCATTCAATTTGAGAAAACGTTGGGGAAAATGAACACCGCTCCAATGTTGGGTTCTGGGAACTTGTGTGTCAGACTACTTGCTGTGAATCAAAATGATTTAAGTTGTTGGCAACTTCTCTGGGAAACTGGCATGGCTCAGCCACTGGTGCCCCAGGAACTGTTGTGTCTGGTCTGACCTTCCTGGAGTGGTGACATAGAAGTGACCTCTGTAAAGGGTGATGTGACTTACACCTTGAATTGTTTTTTTTTACTGATAAAATACAAACATAACCAACTGTATGACAGATGCACAAGACCATTTTGTACCTGGGTGGAATATATTTTTTTGTTATCCATGTCGACGTCATCTTAAGTCTCAAAGGAAGCAAATTCACCGTGGAAGCAAGTGCCGCCTAGAGTTTTCAAAAACGGGCACCTATTCCGCGTGGCCCACTCACACCCCATCGAGCAATATCAGTCCTGCTAGTGGCAGTAACTATTAGGTATAAGTAAATATTTTCTTCCAACATTGCATGTTGAACAAATACAATATAATACATCGCCATCATCAGCCATGGTCCATCCACTGCTGGATGAAGGCTTCTCCAAGCCTTCGCCACCTCTGTCTCACCATGCATCAATCCATGTAGCTCCTGCACACAAGCTGATGCCAACGTTCCATATCTGCGGTGGAAGTAATCCGAGTCACCGCAGTGCAGGGAGGTTCAAGAACACCTTGCCAAAACTTCCCTCTGCTACCTATTTGGCACGCGTGTTAAGCAGCGCCGTTGGATTGGAAGTTTGCTCTTTAAGAGAGACTTAAGGTGATGACGTGAGCACCCATGCTGATATCGGGAGAAAAATACGGTGTTTTGTTATAAGTTTAAGAAATGCGTTAAAAAAAATCAAACGTTTGTCCGCATGCTGTGATATTTTAGTACACCAATCATTGTGGTCACCCACATGGCGATGAGTACATAATTTAATTCATTTTTCACTGCAACGACGGTGTGCCAGGCTACACAAATTGTTACGGTGACAAAAGCCGACCGAGGAAAGCATCTGCGTGTTCCTGTCATGTCGGGATGTTTGGCCAATTGCTTTCTAGTTTGGGTTTTATGCGAGAGAAATGTCGGGTACCTGGACAAAAACCCATGGCTGAGAGGGGATGGCAACCACGCACTGCCACCTCCTGGTCACCAATTAATATCTAATTAATAAGAGGCCCCATCACAAACAAGGAGATTAGCGTTCATTATGGGCAAGCCAATAACTGGGTGACAGGGGAGTGTCCATGCTATTGGGAATGTGTGGTAGGGTGAGTTAAAATGGAGATGAATACGATAGACGGGTCGATCGTGTTGTGGGTCGATGTCGCGGTGGTTGTTGGCACTTTGGTGAACCCATGGAGTTAAATTCCTGGCCAAGGGCTAACATCGGCGACAAGTAGTTTCTGCACCGGTCCTGGACACCCATTTCACCAAGCTGAACGGACCATCATGGTGAAGTCCGGTCAAACCCGTCCACTCAATTGCTAACACTGCATAGAGAAGTCTTCATCCAGCGGTAGATTAACAAAGAGCTGCACTTTTATTTTATGATTCGATCGAGAAAATAATTATTTTAAGACAAACGTATATTCTAATACTTTACGTTTCAGATTCGGATTTGCAATATGATCTGAACAATGTGATCGGGTACATACTCTCTTTGGTTTTTTCGGTTAAGTCACGTAGGTAAAATATAAAAATGAAAAATAAATTAAATCACGTTTCCGAGGCAACACAAGCTTACGTCTTGATTTTGGCTGTGACGGTTCCTTGTGTTGCTTCCGAAACGTGATTTAATTTAGTTTTCATTTTTATTTTTTACCTACGTGACTTTACCGAAATAACCAAAGAGTATGAATCCTTGCAGTCATGAAAACTTCAAATCTAGAATGTGATCGGGTGCCTGTAAAACAACCTATCCGAGCACCCCCCTAGTACCGTACTCTCCATCCCCAAATTGTAAAGCAAAAGTTGGGAGTGGGGGGGCATCATAATCCAGTAGGTGTGCGACCAGATGTCTACTGCATTAACTGTATCGACTACGGGGACAAGTTAGGGGTGCGTCTTATTCTCCGGAGCGTCTTTTAGAATTACGGTAGTCTTTGTCAACTCAAGTTGAAGTGCGAAGCTCTTGACGGTGGAACCACATATCTTTCCAATGTGGTCCTGCTTTGCGACACAAGCCTCAGTTTCCTGATGCTGCATTTCAACTTCCACAGTGGCTTTGTGTTCCCATAGGCTTTGGATTATGCAGTATGTTTTTTTATGAATACAAAGTTGGTTGGGACCTTTTTTATGCGTGTGTATTGTTTCTTATTTCTGCGCGAGTGCCCTTTTGTGGTTGATGTAAACGGCGGTGCCGGTTGATTTTCACAAATCCTCACTCCCTCGGAAAAATAGATCGCAGTCATAGCACTTGGTGTGAAGCTCTCCAATGCAGTCCTTTCGGCTTGTACCACGTGATGGCCAACGTTTCTCTGCGCGTGCCGGGAGCAGTTCTTCAGTTTCTGAATAAGCGGCTCCCAGCACGTCGAGGAGAAACTGTTGGATGTCAACATGCGGTACGATCCGAAAAAACGTCGAGATTTAGCGAAAACTGTGCGTGTACCAAGTTGAACTTATTCAATGCATTTTGAGTGCGAAGCAGATGTCTGACCTTTCATACAGCATGGTTACCCTTGTAAACATACAATTATTTGAGCATTTCACATTGTATGTGTTTGGTAAAAAAAAAAATTGATCAATAAAAACAAACTTCATTAAAACATACATTATGATGTGGATATATGGAATGCTATACTTGGGGGTAGAATTATTGTTATTCTTCTGTCCGTCGTACCAGTTTGGAAATTATAAATACCCATTGGTAAATAAGGTGAAGTAAAAATGCTGTAAATTTTAATATATCTTAAAACTTTACAACTCGATGGAGAAAATGAATCATGGTAATACAAGTTAGATTTCTTGGACATAATGAAAAAACAAGAGACTGAATATGTTTTGACTGAAAAAATTATAGGTAAAGAAGCCGGGTAGATAGTGAATTGTATATTTGGAACAATTGTATGCAACTGGGAGTATCAAAAATGTAAGGTTGAGTAAAGATCATGGACAAATGGGATGCCGTGATCGCCGACGTCTTTGAGAAAGGACATGGCACATATGGACTTGCTCACAAAAGACGACTGGTAAATGTGCAGTTAAACTGTAAGCAACAAAAAAAAACCGTAAGAGGTGTTTTAAAGACTCCTCGTTATTTTGGTTATTCTTTATCTCGTTCAGACGATTTTGTGGGCACATGTTGATAGACAAGAGATTCAGTCTTCTAGAGCACTTTTCCCCAATTATCAGTTGACCATGCGTCACTGAATAGCTGTTGATCACCAACTTCTCCAGGCATCAGTGGCTTAAATAATGCCACTGAGAAAGCAGGGAAAGTGCATTTTAGGCCACCTTTGTAGCATAATAAGCTTTCAATTAGGTCACATTGCCAGAAGATGTGCATGTTTATTTACCAAAACATTTGAATAGTCCAGCCATTCACCGTGAAGAATGATGTTAGAGCAGGTATTGGAGGTCGTGCGTTGACTGTGCAGCAGTTGCAGGATCTTGAGGGTAGAAAGTGTCGGTGAGGTGCGGTGGCATCAACAGCATCGGCCACGATGTCTTGATCAAACACAACGGGTCTGTGGTTCACTCGCATAGAAGGCTTGTGTGTGTGTGTGTGCTTAATCCAGTACTTGGGGATAATATTGCAGGTTTCCGAGATTCATTCAGAGGCATCACTCTAAGCTGCTTATGTTGCTGAAAAATACATTTAAGGAAAATCCTGACCAATACCAAACCTGTTCTTGGATATAAATCTCAACAAATGAAAATGAATCTGTGATCTCACTGTCCAAGTACCAAATGCATAATCATTTAAATTCAGGAAATTCTCATCGAGTTTCAAGACTTTTTAAGGAGGATCATATGGTAAGAATCCAGAGTACCTAGAGAACCCCCACCTTGCATACAAGGGGATAACACAGTGCTCTGGACAGACTTAAGATCCCCTTTCTGCTGTCCCATCTCCTGGCCACCTCATAGCCAAGGTCTACACAATTAATAAGTGAAAAATAAACTGGTGCACACTTTCTAATATTGAAATTCAAACGATCTTTCAATTGAAAATTATTCAATATAAAAAAGGGGATTTGGCAGTGTTGCACAATTAACCAAAAAACTCACTCAACATTTTCATGAAAATAAAAATATCGCCATCATCGGACGATAAAGGGCTATTTTCCCAAAATGTCATACATTTTTATCTTTTTTAAAGGCAGTGTGGTTGACGAGTGCGTTGAGTATTAATTATAAAAATAAAGTATTAAACTTTACCAACTGATGGGGGCCCTCCTGAAAAGTCTTGAGACTCAGTGAGGCCATCCTTTGGTACATTACGTTATTCTTTTTTTTTATTAAATTCAAATGAGCACAGATTAACTCTCCCAAATTGTGCACTGTAATTCTTTCAAACGATGCCATGGAATCTACTCACCTCCACGTACAGTGTTACACTTGCACGCAGTACAACACGCCGAGTGGAATGCACATTTATTGCAATTAACGTGGTCATATGTACGCGAGTTTGGTTTCAAATCAAAACACAGTGTAATCAGCAGTTTCCACGTCAAAGCTTTTACATTACAAGTCTAGATGGCTACTGCCAATGTTCTACAATGGACAGTAACCAGGGATTAATTTCAGAACTGTCTGGGGTGGAATGGGGTTGACAGATGGTGAATTACTGTTGGGTGGGGTGGGAGATTGGGATAGCCCAGAAAATAATCCATGGGATATTAAGCCCTGACGATAACCTTTGGTGTACAGTTTGAGATAAAAGCTTTTTCTTTTTCACGTTTAAAATATAGTTGAAAGTAGATTTTGTATGCGTGAAGAAATATGAATAACACCCATGGTGAGGAGTCGCCATACAGAAACACATTAACCATGAAGGCGTCACACGTAACTTATAATTTATTTATTCTGCGTTAGGCGTTACAACCAAGAACTAATGACCAGCCGTGAAGTATGGTAAGGTAGGTATGGTAAAATTACTCTCATAACTGACATGGTGTGGGGAGGCCTCCAACATGCAGCTGGAATGACAAACGGCCATTAAATATTGTTATTATCACCTAAGTGTGCGAGGTCTGTGACAGGTTTAGTGTGAAAGAACTGGCCTACAACTTGCAAGGTAGGGCACCTGTTTCCTGCGTCAACCCTAATTCCAGTTTGAATAACAGCCAGGTAAACTCTCTGGGTCACCCTGCATAATGCAGCAGTTCGCCAACGTACGAGTAATAATATTTATCCGATGTGTTTTCGGGTTGTCCTGCGTGTTTGCCATGACGTACAAGGTTTCGCTCCATGTTTTGGGAGCTTCTTCAGTTTCTAAAGAAGCTCCCGGGACGTGGAGTGCAACGTCTGGAAGTCATGCCTGAAGAAACATGTGGTACGACCCAAAAACCACATTGAAGGGCTATACAGTACGACAGCGAAAACCTACTAAGTCGTACGCGAGTAATTTTGCCTCCGATGCGAGGATGAGTGTGCAAAAGTTAATCTCCACTCATTTCTCAGTGGCGTTATTCCGCGGTTGCAGCGTCTTGGACACCATGTCCTTCCACTGCTCGTCGGAGAGCTCCTGTGCCCAGCCAGGCACGGCAGGCAGCTTCACCATAGCCATCGTCTTCTTCACCAACTCGACATGCTCTGCACAGCAAACACGTGTACGTGCACCACACACGCCTCCGATTAGCACCAATCAGAATCTTTATCAGAAGCTTAATTTAGACGGAGGAATCTGAAGAGCTATGAAGCTCTTTTTCACAGATGTCCAGTAATTGATACGTCCATAATAAAGCATGGGTGGGGAGCCTGCGGCCCACGGGACACATATGGCCCAGTGACTTAAATTCACACAGCCCGTGGCCAGATCTAGCCTCCCACTTGAAAATGGCCCTCATATTGATATTTACTGGCAATTCAAGCATTTTAGCCACAATAACTGGATTTTATTTGAGTCTATTAGCTGATGTCTTATTGCAGTGATCTCTATACGTCTGTCAATTATGCACTCGAGGGGAAGATTTCTGACCTGGCAAACACTTTATGTATAGCACTCTCAGTCACTACTGTCACTGCAAGGGCATTTTGCTATGACAGGAGTTACTGAGATGTGTGTGTTAATTTCTGACCAACCGGAAAAGGTTCCCCATTGCTGTAACAAAGGATGGGTATATACAATGATCTAATGTGCCAAGAAATAATGATTTTTTTTATCGTAAGTAGCCGACCGTGCCAATTGCAAACTACCTAGTAAGACATATGGATAAAAAAACATGGGCACTGATGAAAGAATCTTGAACAAAAGCTGAATAGTACACTAAAAAGTCAATACATATGGAAGACTATTTCCTGCATGAGATGCAGTCGCCACATTGGGCATGGTGCATGTGAAATCGTCTCACGAGACAGAACACAACTCTGAGATTGCTGCACTAATCCACATGCCCTTCCATGGATCTGCACTAATCCACATGCCCTTCCATGGATATTAATTGAATTCGTAGAGCTCGAATGTACACCAAATTAGCATAATTGGTGACTAGGATGAGACCATCAACCAACTCATTTGAGAACCCATGTTAATCAAGGGTGATTGAAACATAGTTTTGAACCCAGGATCTTAGTAGTGCCGGTTCAATGCCCCGACTCTTGAGCTACCTGGACTTCCCACTTGATATATAGACATAAGGTTATCAAGCACACATGTACCGTTGTCCATGTTGATGGCCTGGCTGGAACAAGCACCTACAGCCTCTGCATCATCAACTTCATCCTCACTGTCTGCTGGTGGTGGGGGTAGGTACAGCCCCATATCCTGCAACATCAATCACAAAACAAGTTAAATGACCTGTCTGCCCGTCTTGTTGATATTTCTTGCTTTGTCTCCAACGTTATCCTCATTGTGCATGCTATCTCTGTCATGTCATGGGACAAAATACCCATTCGGATCTCGTACAGAAGTGCGACCCTTAAGTCTTTCGAGAACGGTGCACGGAAGTGGCTATCGCAGAGCTAACTGAGATCCCATAAAGTTACCTCTGGTCCAAAAAGTAGGAGACAGCACTATTCCACCCGCCCTGACACATACAGGAATGTTTGCCGCATGACGGTGAAACTAATTTTTTAATTCTATGAGCCGGAATTAGCCTGTGACGTGGACAGGGGATAGTAATACAGCAAGTGGGAAAGTGGGCCTATCTGTGTGTTATCCACTCGTATATATGGTGGGTTTTTTCTAGGCACCGTGGTTTCCTACAGCGTGATTGAATGGAATTCATGAAAACATCCCAATGTAACAGGGCCCTCCTGAAAAAAGTCTAGAGACTCAGTGAGAATTTGCTCAATGTACATGACTGATATTCGTATTTTCAATAATAAGGACTTGACCAAATATCCAAAATAGGGGTCCCCTTGGGTTAAAGAATTTGACACTCTGTGAGACTTTCCTGGATAGATATCAGGATTATTCTGCACAGATTTACAGGATTTTATATCCAAACAATCCTGAACAAAAATAGCCCAATATTACAACTGACACAACTGTTATTAATGACCATTTTTGTTACAACGGTATTGCAATGACAGTTGTTACAATGACAGCAATTACAATGCGGTTTACTATGACTGACGTTACAAAGATTGTTGTCAATGTTATAAGAATTACTGTTACAATGTTACTATATGACAGTGTCACAATGGCAGTTGCAGTAAAATGTTATTACAAAGACAGTTGTTACAATGTCACACAAATAATTATCACAAGTCGTTGTAATATTATATTCTTGGTTCTTTCGGTAAAGTCACGTAGAAGGGAAACAATAAAATAATAAAAATATAAGAATAAAATTATATAAAATAATAAAAATATAAGAATAAAATTCTATATTTTTATTATTTTATTGCTTCCCTTCTACGTGACTTTACCGAAAGAACCAAGAATATGAATCCCTGCAGTCACGAAAGCTTTAAATCAAAATTTAAGTCGTTGTAATGTTATAACTACAGCAACCAGTTGTGTAACAATCGTCAACAACGCGTTACGCCACAACATCAGAATACGGTATTATTATTAAAAGTGGAGGAATCCGATTAGCTATAAAGCTCTTCTTCTCTCATGCCCAGTCGGGTAGGGTCTGAACTTTACAGCAACAAACAATACAAATACACGACAGGAGCGAAAAGTATAGAAAAGGTAAGCAAATTACGAATATATCCACACACAAACACAAATTAACTAAACTACATTATTTTACCAGATAGGGCCCACAAAATCGGCCTGGGCCACAAACGACATCTCGACGAAATTGGCTTCCTATCATCACCACCACCACGCGGGCATCTACATCAGTAGCCAAATCATCTAAACGCATCGTTGTTGTTTCTAAATGTTAAATAACATCCATCACCCGCAAGGTCTGCTCGATGTTCTCGGGACTGCATTTTACCAGATAGGGCCCACAAAAACGGCCTGGGACACAAACGAAATCTCAACAAAATTGGCTTCCTATCATCACCACCACGCAGACACCTACATCAGTAGCCAAATCATCTAAACACATTGTTGTTTCTAAATTTTAAATAACATCCATCACCCGCAAGGTCTGCTCGATGTTCTCGGGACTGCATTTTACCAGATAGGGCCCACAAAAGCGGCCTGGGCCACGAACGAAATCTCAACTCAATTGGCTTCCTATCATCATCACCACCACCACGCGGACATCTACACCAGAAGCCAAATCATCTAAACACATTGTTGTTTGTAAATGTTAAATAGCATCCATCACCCGCAAGGTCTGCTCGATGTTCTCGGGACTGCATTTTATCAGATAGGGCCCACAAAAGCGGCCTGGGCTACAAACGACATCTCAACTCAATTGGCATCCTATCATCATCATCACCACCACGCGGACACCTACATAAGTAGCCAAATCATCTAAACACATCGTCGTTTGTAAATGTTACATAGCATCCATCACCCGCAAGGTCTGCTCGATGTTCTTGGGACTCTGCACAAAAGCGGCCTGGGCCACAAACGAAATCTCAACGAAATTGGCATCCTATCATCATCATCACCACGCGGACATCTACATCAGTAGCCAAATCATCTAAACGCATCGTTGTTTCAAAATGTTAAATAGCATCCATCACCCGCAAGGTCTGCTCGATGTTCTCGGGACTCTGCGTCGTTTGCCCGACGAATCCCACGCCACCGTCACCACCGCCACCACCGCCGCCGTCTTCCTCGTCCAGGTCCTGGGCGAGTGGCAGGTAGCCGAGTCCCGGTTCGTCTCCCGGGCCAGGCTCAGGCGTCCCGGGCTCCGTGGCCTCCTCCTCCTCGTCGCTGTCGTTGTCACTGCTGGACCAGCCGGGTGGCTCGCTTCTCACCACTTCCCCCATGGGCGTCTCTCTGTGGGGGCCCATGGCACTGGGAGACACCGCCGCCATGCGCCACACACACACACGCAGAGACTCACTCTCACCCACCCACTCCCCTTCACTCGCCTCTATAAACTTTACTTTTAGAGCTTCGGGTAAATTAATTTTTTGGATTCGTGTCCATGAATTTCAACGACACTGCTGGGGGAGGGAGGGGGTGATCGTTGCGGTCCTTGGTTCTTCCTGTCCTCTTCCCTCCGTCGCGTAGACAAAAATCGTGACGGTGGTGGCTTCGGTGGCGGATTTGTGAGCTTCTTACAGCCTGTGGCCAGTGGGTGGCGTTTCAATGAACCTGGGGGCCTCTCTTACTCTGAGGTTTTTTTTTCGGTAAAGTCACGTAGGTAAAAAATAAAAATAAATAAAAATACAAAATAAAGATACAAAATAAAGATACAAAATAAAATACAAAATAAAAATACAAAATAAAAATACAAAATAAAAATACAAAATAAAGATACAAAATAAAGATACAAAATAAAGATACAAAATAAAGATACAAAATAAAAATACAAAATAAAGATACAAAATAAAAATACAAAATAAAAATACAAAATAAAAATACAAAATTAAAATACAAAATTAAAATTGAAATTTCTATTACTTTACCGAAAAAAACCTTAGGACCTCTCCCAACTCCCCACGAAATGTCATCGAAGGGGCAGGCAACTCACAGCACTGTTCAACACGGAGGCTGCATTGGCATTAGTAATAGGTTGTTTTAACCCTTTTATCTGGTACAAAAACTAACACTTTTATCCAAGGGATCATGTTTTCAATAACCACAACACAAGCAGTCAAAATGCAAACATGATGAGAGTCATTGGTGTCTAATTAAGTATGAATCTGCCAATATAAAATAACTACGACAACATTATACATCCATATGGTAACCTAAAACAATATAAAATAAACCTAGCTGATCGTAAAGTGGGTTTCCAAGAGTAACCAGCGAGCGCAAACGAGTTAGGCCGTGCGTCCGTTGAATATATTTTTTATTCGCTTGCAGTTTACAAGCAGCTAGATTAAGAGGATATCTCACAAAACAGACATTTGGTTAAAATATCGACGTTCAATATTCGTACATTTATTATCTCATAACCATGCTAAGCAGTTGAAACTAAATTCAACAAGGTGGGTGGGAAGGGGGTACAGGGGCCAAACAATGTTGAGAACCACTCCAGTCCACTGGGCATCTGTGGGGGGGAGAAGAGCTTTATAGCTCATCGGATTCCTCCACTATAAATAAATCAACATTCAGATTAAATAATCAACATTCAGATTTACACCTGATGTAGGAAGCTTGTGTTGCCTCCGAAACGTCGTGATTTAATTGATTTAGTTCCATTTATTATTATTTTATTTTTATTATAATTATTTTTATTTCTACCTCCGTGACTTTAGCGAAAAAACCAAAGAGTGTGAATCCTTGCAGTCACCAAAGCTTCAAATCTAGACTTCCCATTCTGTTCGTCTGCAGCGTGCGAGGTCAAAGGTTAAAGGTTAAAGGTCAAGCCGCGGGGCGGGGCAGAGAGCAGCTGTCATCTTACTAACCCCCCCCCCCCACCACGTCGACCAATCACGACGGCCTCGCTCGCTGTCACGTGCGCGGCTTCGGCCAATGGGCGCGCGCGGCGCTGACGAGGGTCGCGTGGCTTTGGTGACCCCCAAAACCCGTCCGCGTGTGGCACGTTCAGTGGCGGCCTAACTACGACCAGTCTGTGCGTTAGTTCTCTACCTCTGCGTTAGTTCTCTACCTCTGCGCTAGTTCTCTACCTCTGCGCTAGTTCTCTGTCCCCCTGCGTTGAGTGGCAACGACGGTCTTGGTGGGTTGAAGCATGGCGCGAGCGATGGAGCTGTTCGTGACGCGGCTGCCGTGGATGGTGGCGAACAGTGAGTGGCTTGCACATGTGTGTGAGATTTTGGTGTTTTTTGTACACACACGTGTGTATGTGTGAGACCTCGTGTCCCCTGTGTACACGTGTGTCTCTGGCCTCCGTGTACACGCGTGTCTCCTCTGGTTCCCGGTACTCGTGTATCTAACCCCGGTTTACACGTGGTGTGTCTAATGTATGAATGTTGAACTTCTTTCGCACCGTACGTAGCCAACCGTGCTAATCGGAGGTGCGGGAGAAAGACGACAAACTTAGCACAAGCCCTCGATGTACACGTGTGTCTCTGACCTCCATGTACACACGTGACTCCGTACATGTTGGTCTACAGAGCACGCAACCCTCGAGTAGCCGGGCGACCGCTGCGGTCTGAATTCATCGGGTTGTCATTGTCCACTCGGGCAAGCGGCGATGTGCTTTGTCCAGAATGTGGCAATCTATATATATTTTTCCCCTTTAACTTACAACCGTGTAAAAGATGCGTGAGGTCTCGTCGTGTTTCATAAGCTCAGCGGCGTTGAGCCTGGTTCGTGCGTGGGTTAGGTGACCACTATGCGAGGCAAAGCCCGTCAGCAGAGGGCAGTGGTGGCATCTAAAGCCATTGAACAGCGTGGACCAGATGTCTTGTGACCCCTAGTTAATTGACCAGGATTTTTTTTTTCTCTTTGTATATTAATTTAGGTTTGAAATAAACCTTGCCTTTTAAAACATATTAGGTTTTTATCAAATTAAATGGGGGTGGGGGGGGTCACAATACATCTGGACCATCCTGTACTATCCTCCATAATGTCTTTGTTCTCCACCTTAAACTTGCACTGACCATATTCTTAGGTTTTTTCGGTAAAGTCACGTAGGTAAAAAATTAAAATTAATAAAAGTAAAATAGTTTTAAATTAAAATTAATAAAAGTTAAATACTTTTATTATAAAAGTAAAATACTTTTATTAATTTTAAAATTTATAAAAGTAAAATACTTTTATTAATTTTAAAATTAATAAAAGTAAAATACTTTTATTAATTTTAATTTTTTAACTACGTGACTTTACCGAAAAAAACCTAAGAATATGAATCCTTGCAGTCACGAAAGCTTCAAATGTAGAATTGCACTGACCAGTCTGGAGAAGTATGGCCAATAAACCCCCACGACCCCCACACTGCGTGGGGAGAGCCTGCGTGGACTACTTCTCCTCGTACCTGTGCAAAAAGAGGCACAATCCCATTTATTTTCGTGGTCAGAGTGGTCAGTAGAGGGAGCTGCTGTCACAATTGTTTTCAGAAATATCGATTTAAAGCTTTCGTGACTGCAGGGATTCATCTTCTTGGTTCTTTCGGTAAAGTCACGTAGAAGGGAAGTAATAAAATAATAAAAATAAAACATAATAAAATAATATAATATAATATAATAATAATATAATAATAATACTTCCCTTCTACGTGACTTTGCCGAAAGAACCAAGAAGATGTTTTCAGAAAGACGACAAAAACCCTCGGCACATTCCTCAATACCGCCACCGCCTTAGTCATTTGTCCTGAACGTTGTCTTACGTACTTTTTAATTTATTTTCATGGCAATGTTATCGACGAATGTGTTTAATTGTTTTTGTTGGTTGTGCTTGCTCACGACTGCCAACGCAGTATCACCAAATAATTTAGAAACTCGACACGCGTCACGGTTATCAAACAGGAGTGTTCATATCTTGTGAATGTGTTGACTACACTCTGTGGAACGGTAATCCAATATCTAATCGCAGTTGCTAAGCAAAGGCCTGCTGCAGCTCTATGAGACGGAGCACCCAGCCGATGAGAAACACTCTAGCATGATGATAACACGATTCTCGAATAGAGAAGGTTTGTGGGGGTTTTATTTTTTAATGAGACGAGGTTGTTCTAAAGTCAAGCACAATAAGGAAGAGAAAATGCTGTGTACTGCAGCGTACACTAAAATGTGGATGTGTCGAGCATAATGCCACGGCTATGTGAACTTGATATGCAAAGACGGGGGGAAGGGGGGGCATATTTAGTTGTAGAGAAAGACAGTCGCAGTCTTAGAGGTGAAAGGGCGGTCTTGAGTTTGGACGAGAGCAGGGGGTCGGAAATTGAGCACAGTACGGATGAAAGGAAACAATCTGGTAGAACGAGTCTGACATCGGTAGAGCTATCAAGGTGTGACGTGTCGGCCTGCTTGAGTCAGCTGATACCGTTGTGTTATGCTGTCTGCGAACTGGAAGCTTATAGATGGAATAGACCGATGGATAAGCAGTTTTTGTGCTGCTGTAGTGCTGTCCATTTGCAGTCTTCCTTGAGGATGCCTGCTTCATTGATCGTGTGATGCATGGTGCTGTTGTCACGGGCGAAATTTAATTAATTATTTCCAACATTTCGTTTTTGCACCATTACATCTCAATAATGTCACAAGATGAAGAACCTGTTCGGATCACTCGCAAAACAGGATAATAGCCCATGGAGGCAGATTCTCCAGGGCTACCTCTGAGATATCTTCCAAGTGAACTGTGGTTCACACAGTAGGGGGCCAGCACTTTTCCACCTGCCTGGAATGAGATTCGAAACCGATATATTTATTCTCAGAGATGGACAATTTCCAAATTAAATGGAGAACCGAGTTTTCATGCATTTATCGTGAATCGACCTATCATTACATGTCTACTCATCTCCCCATGCATTCCCAACCTTTTGCGTTATGCAAAACTAGCAGTTCCTAAAGAACTACATTTGGTCTCAAGTTGTCTCCTGGTCTCACTGCTGCTGCCTAATGGTTGGTCAAATTTGCTCAATTAGTTTGATGGTAACTTCAGACACGATGACCACAATGTAGTTCCTCAGGAGCTGTTTTTTTCAGTGAGAGACTGATGTAGTCTCCAGCCAACAATTCTGGGCACCAGTAATTAATGTGCAGACTCATTTCTTTAATAATTTGTTGCTAATTTGAAACTTCTGGATTTACTCCATAAAACTGTCGCCCATTGACTTAATCTGGCGAATGACGTCAACGCGGCTGAAGGGTTCATTTTACGCGTCGCTAACTCCTCGCAAATTAGTGGGCAGCTGGATGAATGGAACTGCTGCCAGTTGTCGTAGATAGAAGGCCGCCAAATAATTTATTACATTCTAAGATGTCAGCGTGGAAGTCCCTTCGTGGCAACACTGCAAATCTGACTCGTGTTTTTTTTGTCCCATAAACTGTGGTCAGTTCCACAGTTTCGAACGTACATTTCAGACACTTAAAAAAGTTAGTAATAAAGTGGATTTTATATTCTCAGTACATCAACTAATTAGGACTGTCATTTTGTTAGGAATAGTTGGGTCCACCTCAATACGGGAGAAATGCTCATAAAATATCGCGGTGTCAGATGTACTCGGATGAACTCAGTTTTTCGTCTGTGCTGGGATGGTGGTGATGGGGCATGCAGTTTAGTGTGTCAGTCGATGATATCATTGCATAAATGAACCATATGTTGTATTATGTCTGTTGAACTTCTTTCACACCATACGTAGCCAACCGTGCCTTACAAATGACACTCACATGCTCATATAAAAAGTAAGAAGTCCCTTCATGATTGTACCAATGATTGCCCATATCTTTAAAGTGTTTGAAATGTCTGTCCATATTTGTAAAATGGGCCACCTGTATCCCAGCTTTTAGCACTCTCTTGCTGAAGGCAAGTGCCACTGGCAAGTCATTCTTTTCGTGCAGTGTGGTTGACTTGTGTTTGTGTCTTTTGCGTTCTTTTTCAAGGGGAAGTGAAGGAGTACTTCAGCCAATTTGGAGCCATCAAGAAATGCTATTTGCCATTCGTAAGTATCGGTTTTGTCTTCTCTACTAATCGCACTTTAATGGAACATGAGCTACTTTGGCCACTGGATCACCCCTGATTTTCACCTTTTTTTGTCTTTCCACAAATTATATTCCAATTATGCTATGCTGTTATGCAACCCAACTGTGGACCGTATAGTAAACCACTGTGGTTTGCGCACCCTTCAATGGAGAAATAGCAAAACTACACAAACTCTCGGCATTTAGCTCCTGAACATGTTGATTGGCTCACACAAGAAGAGAATAGAATTGGTGTTATGTGACAACACGAAGTCTCCTGTCGGATTTCTAGTAGTGAGACATTAGTTATGTTTGCCATGCCCAAGTGAAAGAGACACTTTTAGATTACATTCTGGATGAATCGCATCTTTCAAGTGTACGTAATGGACCTACAAACGCGTAGAAGCTGTCCATGGGGAACGTGGAAAATAACCTTTTGGAAATTGCTCTCGCCCAGTTGAGGTTCTGTTGTTAACTCACGTTTTAATTCAAACAAACCGGAGGTCTTAATGAGCCCAGTATCTTGCATGCTCAATATTAAGACTCTCGCCATAAAGCGCTGTTTAGGCTGTCTATACACAGCAACACAATCTCCCTGCAGGAGACCCTTGCTTGTCGCTGACATTAGTGTTTTATTTCTTATTTTGGTTGCTCTACAAACATGAAGTCATTTGAAACTTTCGTGTGCCACCTTGTACTCATGGCTTAGTTCATAATCCATTATTTTGAGGGCTGTGGTGGGGGTGAAGCGGTGGATGGCACAGTGGTTACGACATTACACAATGAACCTGATGATACGAGTTCCATTCCAGCCAAGGCTGGTGAAATCTAAACCAGTTCTAGGCACCCCCTCTTCACCAACCCGCACTGATCGGCATGGTCAAGTATGGTAAATCAACTAACTTGGCATAGAAAGGCCTTTATCCAGTAGTAGATTGACAAAGGACTGGACACTTTCTTGGATTGCAATGATTTATGCCCCCCACCCCATTCCTTGTTGTTTCAATGAATTGTTGCAATTCAGGGTCACGATTTGATTAGAGAGCGTATTTTTAACGATCCTCACAGTGGTCAAAATGGGCCGCTAAGCGACGATACACCACACCGCCACTTCTCAGAAAGCCAAACATGTATACCGGCACTGTTCGGAGCGCTCCCTACACCACAAATTTTCCACAAAGGGGAATCGGCAGTGAATGTGGGCTGCAGGATGAATAGGTTTCATTAACTATTCACCCGCAGGCATCCTAGCGAATGTGGTTGCCGCAAGTTGCTGGCAACACATATACACATCTACTAAATACAGTCATCTTCCATTTATATAGGTGATTTTGGGGGAGGGGTAACATGGATAAAACAAAAACACAGATAATGCAAAACATGTAATTGACGCTATGAAAGCATCGTTTTTGTTCACCTTTGTAGTATGGGGGAGAAGACATTGAATTTGTTCACTTGCTGATGTTTGCGGTTACCGCGTCGCTGACCCTAGACGAGTGAGGAGCGGCTCGTAATTAAACCAGCACGCGCATGAAAGGTGCGAATGAGCATGGTTAATGCGAAACACTGATACTCCACCCACGGGTAATATCGAGTTAACTACACCTGGTTTCTTACACACATTGGATGTGGGTGTTGCAAGCTCGCTAAGCGATGCATTGATTCAACGCTGTTAGATTACAGTTACCTGCATTTCTAACTCTGCTTCTCTCAGTTGCTACCCGCTGTACAGTGCAGGCCAGAGGGCTCTAAACGGAAACGTTTGTTTTGTTTTTTGGATGCAGAATAAGGACACCGGCTTCCACAAGGGCACGTGTTGGATTTCCTTCATTTCGGAGAATAGCTTCAGGAACGCTTTGCAGAGAGAAGAGCACGTTATTGAAGGTGTAAAGGTAAAGGAGGAGGAAGGGGTTTCCATCGCGATGTTCATGAATGGCTCCTTGCTGCTGCGGTTGCTTGTAGGTTTTCACAGTTGTACTGGTTTGCTCTCCGATGTGTGTTTTGGGTTGTGGTACCCTGTCTTGTTTGGGGTGATGTCTGACGATTTGCTGCACTTTCCTGGGAGCTTCATAAAAAACTGAATTTAATTTACATTTGTATACAGGGCTTCAGCTAGCTAGCTTGGCTTGGATCAATGTGCCAGGAGTGAAACGTCGTGCATGGTGTTGTACATCACGCAGGGCAATCAGACACCACATCGGGAGCTTCATCTTGCGCTTGCCACTGTACGTAGCCAACTATGCTAATCGGAGGTGCGTCAGAGGTACAACAAACTAAAAACTAAAGTTCTAAAGAAATTAGTTTTCAATCTATATTTAAAAGTGCATAGCTCCAGTGGATTCCTAACATTGGAAGGAAGAGCGTTCTAGATGGCCGCAACAGCGCATCTATGTATCGATGTTGAACTTTCGCACCATATATAGCCGTCCGTGCTAATCAGAGGTGCTGGGGAAGGACAACAAACTAAACACAAACAGCAGTTTTAAAGAAATTAGTTTTCAATCTAGATTTAAAAGTGCGTAGCTCCAGTGCCTTCCTAATATCGGAAGGAAGAACGTTCCAGACGACCGCATTTGAAAAGGTCACGCGAAGGTATCTTGTCAGTGTCATGACAACGGCTTACGCCTGATGAGGGTCCACGCAAATGAGGGTCACGTGAGTGTCATGTCGTGTCTGTCTACGGGACAGGCTGCGCACCCGTTATATATAAACGTTTGCTTGGATGCGCCATTGCTACTTCTGTGTGTGGCGTTGACTCGGTTTATCTTCCCCTTGCAGTTGGATGTCCGGGTGAACAGGAGTTTTAAAACAGACCTCACCGACCCCAACGGCGCCACGAGCGAAGTCGACGGCGCGCACTGAAAAAGCCACACGACGCGCTGTACACGGCACCGAGTCACATGTCTCTGTCCTCAAGCAGTAATAATAAACTATGTACCATGAATACGTGAAGTAATTGTTTTGTCTTGTTCTGTGCATTTGAGTTTATTCGTATTCCCGTTCTGCCCCTTTACAGAGTCCACAGGCTTCCGGCAGCAGTAACAGTCCTACATTGTTGGCCATCATCATATTAGATCCATCTCTTGGTGATGTTTTAATGTAATTTTCTCTCTGCTCCAGTGCCTCCTCCACTCAATTGATCCATCTACTCCGTCCCTTGCCTTTACCAGTCCTCCTGCGTACCTATTTCCAAGAATACAAATTGGATACTTGAGGTAGCCAAGTTGTTGCTTCTTCACCGTTTACCTTCACCGGTGACAATACAAATCGCATCACATTCCTTGCCTATTGGGTAAGAACCCATTTAAGGAACCTGTGGAGCTGAATTGAGCATCATGGTCATTGCCAATGATGTCACCGTATCTCACCGTCACTTCCGTCAGATGCCATCATCAAAAACCGGTCTTCATCGTCCACCAGGTCTTGCACTTGGTCTCCGATCTCTGGGTGCCACTGCATTGCCTGTCTGGGTAACCTGCCCTCTGCACACTCTACACGTGTTCCACTCATCGCAAACTCCTTTTTCTGATCACATTTACAGCAGTATTTTCTTGAAAAGTTACGTTACAAACACCCTATCCTTCCGAGGAATGCATAGGATCATCCAAATGCACCTGTATTCAAAGGTCCCAAAGTTTATTTTCGAGGGTCCCCCTTCATTCAACCCGCACTGACCAGCTTGGTGAAGTATGGCTATACTACCTCCACAACTGAGGTTTCATGGGATTGAGAAAGGGCAGCAAATTCTAGATTTGAAGCTTTCGTGACTGCAAGGATTCATATTCTTAGGTTTTTTCGGTAAAGTCACGTAGGCAAAACATTAAAATTAATAAAAATAAAATAAAAATCACGACGTTTCGGTGGAACCGTCACAGCCCGACAGCTGTCGGGCTGTGACGGTTCCACCTGAAGACGGAAGCTTGTGTTGCCTCCGAAACGTCGTGATTTTTATTTTATTTTACTTTTATTAATTGTAATGTTTTACCTACGTGACTTTACCGAAAAAACCTAAGAATATGGGCAGCAAATTGTTGTTTAATGATAACATTTGGCCACTCTTGCATCCTGTGCTGGCTGTCATTCATTTTAATTGACGCACTTCTCTGTCCGGATATTGTGTCATTAAATGAGCCAAGTAGGATAGGTGGCTAAAAGTTCAGACCATTGAGCCAGATCGCGGAGTTCCTGGGTCCCTAGGTTGAAATCTGGGTTTTAGTTGGCCATGATTAACTCGGTTTCTCAGGCATGGCGAGTTGATTGATGTTCTCGAGCCAGTCATAATGACTGCACAAAAATTCATCAAATTAAATTTAGTTTTTCCACTTCATTTGGCACTGTACCACCTCTGAGAATGAAAAAAGTGTGACTCATGATGAACATTTATCTCCAGCTCTCTGTTGTGTTTTCAGTTTGTACCGCATGTTGTTTGGCATAATGTTGGACGTTTCACTCAACGTTCAGAGCTTCTTTAGGAACTGAGGAATTCAATGGAGCAGCTCGCTCACAGCTGCCAGCACGTTGGAGGAAACGTCAGACATTGGGTCTGACATCACACGGCACAACTCGAAAACACATCGGAGAGTTGTGCAGAGAACCACCCATGAAAACCTATGCAGTTGGACATTTCTGTCGAGCGGAGCACATGGAAAAGTGCATGCGCCCTTTGTGTGGATAGAAAAGGTCTGCGGAGTTCTAAATCTTCTGCAGCCCATTCTCTAACACGGGGTGATGCACTGCCCGGTGAGAGCCCCGCATGGGTAATGTGTTTTGACACGACAACAGCACAACATTTGCTAAATCACGGGGAAAAATATCCTTTTAAAAGAGGATGACATAACCAGGGGCTTCCCGGTAAAACCCATTGACAGAGAGACATGGAGGGCTAGATCCACATAAGTTGGTGGACCCTCTAGAGAAAATATTGATCCTATCAGTAGAGCTTGAGAAAAGGAACCAAGGCGCATATGTGGTCTAATACTGAACTGTCTGAGAGATACCGAGAGAGATGCGTGCAGATAATTGTGGGGGGCCACACCGCCCGTGTAGTGTGCTCATACCCTTACCCCACTTCTGACCCAGCACTGACCCAGGTTTGCATTCCAAGTCAGCCACCTGCGATTAATTCCAGACAAAAGTATGCATAAACCCACAATACAAACACACAAACACATTTACGTGTTCCTTGCACGCGCTATTCCACCTCGCACTTTCGCCTAGCAACTGGCCTTTGCTTTGTTTGACAAGGGTAGCTGCGGCCAGCCGTGGTGATTTGCAATATGGATTTCTGCCAAGAAAAGTGACTCGGGGTTTGGAACAGAACATTATGTGAAAGCCGGGCATGTGAATGTGGCTCTGCTCTATTGACACCAATCTCTCCCCACCAAGCCACCCACGAACCCGAATTTGCAGCCAACCCTCTTGACCCGGCCATAGAAACTGAACCAGCCAATAATTGGAAGCCCTTTTGTCTCACTCCTGTTGCGGTTGTTTTCCATCCAGGACTGCATGGGATTGATAATTTAAAGTTTGTGTGGTTTGCGTAAGCGGATCAGTGTCTTGCGATTGAGAGTTAATTGGGATGAATTTTTATTTTATCTTCCCTGGGACCTTTTTTATAATTAGGGGTAATTAAAAAAATATATATTAGTAATTACATTATAGACAGTTACTAACGGTTTTAATGATTGCCCTCCTGGCAATTTGATGCATGTTTCGCTATTTGGCATTGCAATTGAATTTCAGAATTATTTTGTAAATAGGGTTCGGAATGTGATGGATTTTAATTGGCTGGAGGGGTTAAGCGGACCCATCTATGACGACACAAAGAAAAATCAATGCTTTCTCACGTAATTCGATTACTGTATCATGAGCTTAAGACTATAGTAATAATTTAACTGATGCATTGTTACACCCCGACAATTACGCCAGGATCAGCTCTTGCAAACTATATATTATTTGGGAGGTTTAATCGCCACATTAAAATGTTATTTAGGGAATTCTAAAGGTCCATGCTGTAGAGATTGGCAGACAGCCCCAGGAAATGAATCTTGGACCCTTTGTAATTTGGCTCAGGAATGAGGAATTCTGACTGCTAAGCTCCTGGCCAATTAAGTGGCCGGGTGCCTAAGAGGTCAGAGTACCTGGGTTTGAAACCAGGCAACCGTTGAGATGGTGTGATGAAATTGCCTAGATCAGGCATGTCCAAAGTCCGGCCCGCGGGCAGATTTCATACGGATGTGTTAGTTATGGCTCGCCAGCTCTGTCAGAATAAATACATCATAAAACTCATGGAAATTTAAGGTATTCTATACAGTTTGTTCAATGTTATCTGACTGAATGAAAGGCAGAATTGCGTTTGTAGAGTTGTTCACGTCTGCCTGAGTGGCTTATATTTGGGTACATTGTCATTTGAAAAATGAAGGTAATTGTGACAATGAAAATTGTTTTATAACAGTGTGTATTTCCACGTAACTTTTGTGGTTAAAAAAATGTCAAAAGGAACTATTGGCCCCCGGGCATCTTCACTTTATCAAATGTGGTTCTCTTTGCAAAAAGTTTGGACACCCCTGGCCTAGATGCTGTACATTTCTTTTTCAGAACCGTGAGAGATGGTGACGACTTGGGGAGGCCTTTGTCCAGCAGAGGATAGCACATAGCTGCTGATGATGACGGTGGTGGGGGGGTAACTAATTTCCCTCGGCCACTACAAGCTTCTTCTTAGACGGATGCTGCACACACTGAGCTGTCGCTGTGCTTCACTGGCCGTGCGTGACCGGAACACAAGTTAATAAATAAGAAAGCTTTAATTTATGACGCTTAATAAGGGCTCTACAACTCTTGACGGCATCGGCAGCCGAGGGATTGACCTGCGCACACACCGAGCCCTGTGTCAATACAAATATATATCGTAACCTATATTTTTCTGGTGTTACTCATCAAATGCACGTCTGTAGGTGCCCTCTAGAGTTGCCTGTCGTCGAAGCGTTCTCCGCTCCCACCGGCGAAAGCAATTGCAAGGCTTTACCTTCACCGCCACCTTTTGTGATGAATATCTGTAAAGTCATTTTACATTTACCCAATGCATTTTTGCCAAGTTCAAGTTCGAACAAACTACAACTGAGGCTTAAAGAGTCCACCGGTATACAAGTTTAGATGACGTGGCGCTTTTGCACGATCCGTACGGCGTGGTGTGATTTCGCCGAGGAATGGCCCCACAATGCATCTTTGTTCTTCACGAAAGGGTGGGGACAAATATCCACACGAACGCAGCTTTTGAATGACCACACACGTGACAAAACAAACTTGATTACATGGGAACTAATACCTATACATTGCCGTGGTATGCTTTCGCGGTCGTGCTGTATAGCTTTCCACCGCCGTGTTCAGATCGTACCTAGTGTCGTTTGTTAGTGTGTTTTTTGATGTCCGACGTTTCGATCCACTTACTGAGAGTTCTGCAAAACGCATCGGAGACCTGTGCGCATGTCCGTTAAGGTGCCTGAGCACTTCTTCTTGCGTACGGCTGATGCAGAATCTGAGCAACAACTAAAATTGCACATTCAGGTGGTCAAGCCCATACAACCGCGTCGGGACCAGCGGAGTGTGTCGCTGAAATGTCTCCTTGGTATTGCTGAGCACGGATGGCCTTCGACCAAATCACCCTGATTGCACCCGATCTTACCAGACCTCGGAGCCGAAGCACGGATGAGCCTGGTTAGCATTTTCTTGGTTCTTTCGGTAAAGTCACGTAGAAGGGAAATAATAAAATAATAAAAATTAAACATAATAAATAATTCTCACGACGTTTCGGCCACAACCCGACAGACCTGTCTGTCGGAAAGACAGCAAGTTTAGATGACGTGTCGGAAAGACAGCGTCTGAATGACGCTGTCTTTCCGACAGACCCGTTCTTCACCTGAGGACGGCTGCTTGCGTTGTGGCCGAAACGTCGT